ATTTCATATTGAAGTGAAATAATTAGTACAATTCCTGGGTAAAATCTACATTGGAAGTAAATTCATATGTAGTTATTTTGGTGCAATAAACAAGGAAAATGTTAAAATCAAGTGAAAATCAAACAAACAAAATGGCTTGCTTATACCGGATGCATTATGTTTTCGGGTTGTCCGGCCGTCCGTCCGTACGTTCGTCCCGCTTTCTCGTTGTCGGTCGCAATATATCAAGAACCACTTAAAAAACTTAAACATTGATGACAGTATGTTTGACCATCGGAAGCCGATCTGATTAGATTTTGGAATAACTTGATCAAAAGTCAAAGGTCACATAGGTCAACTTATGAAATTCCAGGGATTGGCTTCGTTATCGCGATGGCTCAAGAAACATTAGAAATATGAGGCTCAAACTTGTTGATAATATGTATCATCATAGGAGGACGATCTGAATAGATTGTGGGTACATGTAGGTCAAAGGTCAAAGGAAATAGAGGTTAACTTCTGAAATTCCAACTATTTGCCTCATTATGCGAAATCTCTTGAACCACTAGAGATATGACGCTCAAACTTGGTGGTAATATGTATTACCATAGGGAGACGAAATGATCAGATTCGGGGATTATAGGTCAGAGGTCACAGAATTCAATTTCTGAAATGTTATGTATTAGCTAATAATTGTTACAGGGAAACCTCAATAACCACAAGAAATATGAGACTCAAACTAGAAGATGGTATGTATTACCATAGAAAAACGATCTGATAAGATGTGGGTACAAAGTTCAAAAGTCATTAAGTTAACTCCTAAAATAACAGGTTTTAGCCTTGATATTGCAATACCTCAAAAACCACTAGGGATATGGGATTCAAACTTGGTGATAGTATGTATCATCATTGGCCGACAATCTGATTAGATTTTTGGGTCGGTTTGGAAATGGTCAAAGGTCATAGAGGTCAATTTCTGATATTACAGGTTTTATCCTTGTTATTGCGATATTTTAAGAACCGTTAGAGGTTTGAGCCTCAATCTTGGTGATAGTATGTTTTAACATACTGGGAAGACGGTCTCGTTTATAGATTTGAGAAAAGTAAGTCAAAGTCGCAGGTTAATTTCTGAAATTAAAATTTTTAAGCTATATCTAATTTAATGGTGACGATATTACAAAAGGAAGATAATCCAATTACATTCTGGGGCTAGGATAGGTCAAGATCATAGTCGTCAATTGACATTTGATTGTAGGATTTTTGTTTTCATTGTGATATGTCATGAATAAATGTAACCATTACCTCTACTAAATGTATAATTATTGCAGAGTGTGAAGGGGGTACCTTTGGTTTGGATTGTCTTCAGCAATGTCATTGTTCTCCAGAAGCTTGTGAAACAGAGAGGGGTCTTTGCAAGGGACAATGCCTCGATGGCTGGATTGAACCATATTGTCAAAGTAAGTATACCCAGCATAATTGTGTTCTGGTTTGTCTTCTTGTTCAGCTGGAAGAAAAAAAATCAGATAAAAACAACCTCAGAGTGCCTATGGAACTATATGTCCATGTATTTCATTATTTTTTAAAAGCCTCTGGAACAAGTACTTTTATTTCAGTTTAAGCTAATTTATTTGTAGAGCGCCATGAACATCGGCGCTTGGCGGATACCGACGCTATATAAGTAGCCATTTCTTAAAATGATTATTACTCTTTTCTTGTTGCAAACACCTGTACATGTAAACACAAGCTCGCAAATACTACCTTGTAATCTTTGCTCTGTAATAAGGCCAATCTATATTTTAATGAACTTGAAGTTTTTCCTACACTATACACGCCGTGATTGGAAGTTTAGTGTTAATTTGAAAAGTGGATAGACATCACTATTGATATCAGTCAGTTGTTTAAAAAGTACATGAACGATGTGATTGCCAGGACTATTGGTTTGATATACATTAAGGAATTAGATTTTGAACAAATTGATCAGATTAAGAACTTCCCTCGTTGTTGTACACCTCAATGTAGGCCTACATGTACAAGTGAATTAATTACAAAGTGTTTATGTTCTTGCTTATTTCTTGATAGTAATACTAATATTATGAAATGACTGGGTTGCAATCTTCTATTGATCTAGGTATACTTGCATTTAATGTTTTGTATCATCGATTGCTTTTTGTTCAGGAATATCAAGGTTGGTTCCAGTGAGAGTGAACCCATACCAACCATCTAGCTTCACATGTTATGTTGAGGGTATCCCACCTCCTGATTCATCTTCAATTGATCTTTCTAGACGCACTGGAAACACATACGACAAGACAGGAATCACCAGGAGGTCTAGCACTGTCTCAGGGTCAGAACGGGCTGTTGTCTTTGATGTTAACAGTGTCTTTCCACAGGAATATGGGGGATACCAATGCTTCCTTTATATTGAAAATATAGGCTATCCTAGTACGCTTATTACCAACGCAACTTATGGTACGTGAGGAAATTGTGTGATATCATCAGTTTACTGTATTATACCATTTAGCTTATGTACAGTAAGATACCAGATAATTACAGAGCCTGGATTCTTTTTCTTAAAATGAAGAATTATTCTCAGTCATGTAGCACTTATACTAGGATTAAAAAAGTATTGTCGTTGTAGGTTATCGATTTTTGGGGCATTATAACAAACAAAAACTGACAAACAAACATGCAAAGTGCTGCAATGCATGTATCAAGCCTTGAAGAATTTCCAAAAAATAATTGAGTTTAGAATGCTCAAATAATAATTCTGACAGAGAGAGGACAATGAGACTCTATTCCAGCTACGCACACATATTTGCCACGCAATGTTATGTGAAGCCACGTTACACCACGTAGGTCCCACATTACTTTACGTAAATTATAACATTGATGACATTTTCGCTTTTACCCTGAAGTGAGCACCGTGCACGCACTACATATGAAACGTCAACATGGATATTTTTTCGTACTGATTTGAGAGGAGAACTTACATGTTACCTCTGATATCGATCGTTGAGTTGTTCAAACAAATTTTGTTTCTTTTCACGTTTTTTCTCAGTTTTGCCAGTCATAGAGGAAGCACCAGTGATAGTGAGTACCACGTCAGCTACAGTAGGTCTCCGATGGAATGCATGGTCTGGAGAAGATGACATAGGTGATCCTCCCCTGGTAGGATATGATGTCTTTGTAGAGGAGAATGGTGAAGGGGTAACAGATCAGAGAGTAGATCAACTCACGACATCAGCCATCGTTAATAACCTGACACCCGACACAGGTTACCTGTTTCGCGTAGCAGCAGTGAGGGAAGGAACAGGTGGAACAGGACCTTTGTCTCCTAGGAACAGCTCAATAACTATCTGTAGAAGTAAGTAATGCTCAGAAAAAGAATTGAATATGCCAAGGGTTTGTCTTGATTTCAGAGTGCAGAATAAAAATGTTAAGGCTGCTTATTTTTCAGACTTTTCCAGCTTGATTTATACATTCATCTTCATGTAGGTAGATGACTAATATCATTGGTAAATTATTTTATTCCAATGGTTTAAGGCTTTTTAAAATATCTAATTTTATTAGTAATATATGAAACATAGAATTTTTTGTTATTTCCAATCCATACATTCTCTTTTACAATTGTTCTATCTTTTTAAACTTTGACACAAAATATTTCTTCTACAACAAAATTTTGCAAAATATGTTAAAATGTTTATAGTACCCTTCATTGTGTTTGCTCAATGGTAGTTTCATTTTCGATTCGTTGACGTCTAATTCAAAACGACACGAAGAGTATTTGTTGTAGCAATGCATGATTTTACTATAACGTGCATGTACATGTGATGAATTCATCTACTATAAGTCCAAGCCATTTAGTATCTTCTATATAACTTTAAACTTTAGAACCCAGTGCTTCTCCAAATGGAATACTAGTCGCAGCCATCAACCCTAAAGAGCTAGAGGTGACATGGGAGGTATGAACTGTTTTTAAAATAGCTTTTCAATCACTAAGTGACATGAAGTTAGATAAAAGAATCATCCAAAACACAAAATTCAGAACTGTTAATATAATAGTCATATTTTTTATTACACACAGTTAGAACCCCACTAGATATGGAGGTAATAAATAAATGAACAACATTGATCAGACTTAATACTACACAAAATGTCCTCGAGATATGTTTTGGATGATTCTTTTATACGTACCTTGAATTTGAATAAATGAAATGTATACGTCTCGTGTTTTAAAACAAAATTGTAACAATTGTTCTGTTTGCTAGATGAAAGAATGAGCTGTTGGATTTATTGAGTGGATTTTTTATATTTTATTTCACAGAAGGAAGCAAATATAGAATATTTTTGTATTTAAGAGATTCCTGTTTAGCATGATGATTGCAGCATCCTTATTAATGCGAGATACTTTAGGCAAATTAGATAATATACAAATATACGAAGCTGTGAGAAAGAATAGTGGAAATTAGTTATCTGAGGAGGGACTGGCTTAGTACTATTTTCAGACACCCTGACAACTAGATCTATTTTCGTCTACGTCTATGCTGGTACTCCATTTTCAGCAACTAAACGAACATGTTTATGGATAATTTCACGTACCTTTTTTGTTGGTCTTGCTGTCAGCGAGTCTTGCATTTGATAAGTTGAAATCTTGGGACAGTTTCTTTAGCCATTTTTGTCTTGTTTGGAATTGTCTTGTATGAAAATACCGACCAATTCTTCGCACACGTACGGTATCCTCGATCGCTCAAACCATTTTTTAACATGTAAACCTATGGGGTAACCATGGATACTGAACTATTTTCCCGGTAACCATGGTTACTGGGATTTTAGAACTGTTTTAACCATGGTTACTGGGAAATTTACAGAAATAGTTAAAGTTTATGAATGCAATTTCGACCAATCAGATGGCTGGATTTCTTAAGTGAGGTATATAATTTTGTTTATTAGTGTGAAGGTAACTTCGTTTGATGTTACTATGCTGCATGTAAAATGTATTCGCACTTTTATGTTTCAGCCCCTCCCCTCGGAATCAGCAGAATGCAGGAGTGGAGTGACTCATTATACGATATACTATGCTGCCACTGGATCAACTTCTTCAAACATTATTTTTGTTTCTCGTGACACTAGGTCCTACTTGATAAGAGGGTTAGAAACCTATTTGGACTATATCATCCAAATGACTGCATCAAATAAAGACGATGAGAGTGATAGGGGCAGTGAAACTGTCATAAAAACACTTGAAGAAGGTTGGTTTTTAATATCTTAAGATGTATTTCTTTTAGGGGTTAGGGAGGGGGATTGTTGCTTGCCTGTTAAGTGACTCAGTTAATATTCTTGTAGATATTATTGCCACAATATTCGTCCAACATGACATGTTTTGGGGTTGATTTTACTTCTGGTTCATTTCACAATATACTTTCAGTTTCATCTACAAATTCAATTGATCGTGATAGAGTGGAAATCATTGATTCCGCTAGACTAAAAAACTGTATGGTCCGTATACTGCTAATTCAGTAAACCCAACTCGAGGGCTACATATTGTTAAAATAAGGCCTTGGTCTAACTTGCTTGTTAAACTCAACTTCAGACAATACTTAACTCCAGCGTCGGTTTGAATGTTAGAAGATGTGGACAAAAAATTTTACGCGTTAGATATTGTTGGAGATCAAGAGCAATGAGATCTCAAAATACATCTTTGGAAGTGTTGTTTTACTTAACATCTACTTTCTGCATCATTATGATTACTATACATAACTGAGGTATTAGAGTACTATCTCCTAATGTCATTTATCTTCTAATTAGTCGCACCTGCTCCTATCAATGTGGCTAATCTGCAGAGTACTGCAAGCTCCTTCACTTTGTCCTGGTCTACCCCTCTACCTTCTAACATCAATGGTAACATCCAGAAGTATATCATTCGCTACAAGCCAGCTGATCCCACTGGTGATGGTGACTATAAGATGGAGGAAGTACCGACCGGTGAATTTGAAGTTGAACATACCGTGATGGATCTACCCAGTGCAATCAACTATACAGTTCAGGTTAGATGTCTTGACCTTAATCCTTAAAGTTGATATTCATTGATTTTAAAAACTAAATTTATTTTCATTATTGCAAAGTTGAAACTTTGATTTGACAAGGTTATCAAAATTCAATGCTTGGAAACATTCGAAGTAATGATTATTATAAATTACAAAACGCTTAAATACAGCCCCGGCATAGCACCGGAAGAGCTCTCCGAACGCTGTTGAGATGTGTGAGATCACAGTATGGACATGACTTGCACAAGCAGACGAAGCCCCATGACATCTCACACATTTTCAGTGCCTGTGTTTTCATCTTTTCTTGAGTTCTTTCTCTTACTTCACTACCGTCAGGCTAAATGTATAATCTATTGCCTCACTCTTAACCCCGCGCATGGTTTTATTTTGATGACAAATGCAGCGATACAAAAATAAAGGAATCTGTCGCTTGTAAACAAAATAGGACGCCATTGTATATTCAGCTGCACACACCGGGGTATGTTCGGCGTTTCAAGAGGGAACAAATGCCGTCCTTAATATCATTCCAGGGGGTTTTCAATTTGAAAGTCTGGTTTCTTTGATTGTTAATTACCCCCTATCCTGTGTATTTACAAGCAAAAGATTTTAGTTATCAAAATCGGGTCATATCCTATTTTGAATGGTTTGACATTCCATTACATTTATATACACTAAACTCATTATAATTTGACAAATAATAGCTTTGCAATTATGTTCATTCTCTATGGGATGTCGTCTGCTTGGGCAGTGTTGGTCCATATAGTGACGTCATTAAAACATCGTTATATTTCCGGCGAATCTCTGGTATATCCCAGCTGCTATGGAGGTGGTTGTATTTGTATTTTTTATAAATCACCCGATATGTAGTTGACCTATATCTTGTACGATGGCCATCTGTTAGATTACCAGTTTCTAGTCATATATTAGTTGACATATTTGTGATGTTCTTTGAATTTCACCTTTAAGTTAAGACCAAACGATTGAATGGAATGTTCGAACTCTTCATATTTTAGTGCGAACTTTCCATATGTATAAAATGAGCTTTGATCCTAAGCGTTTTTGGAGAAAATATAAACGTTTAAGTGATTCTCTTTAATATCGATGCCATTGATATACATGTATCAAGCAATCCCCAATTACTTGCATGAATTGCATTAAAACAAATCACATTTAAATGCTTGAATGGCATCTAAAATATTACCTTTTGTGATGCGGACGATGATTGTAAATTGACATTTTTCTCAAGAATGTGAATATCTAGGCCTATCTCATGATTACGTGTAGATATAACTTACCAGATTTAAACCAATCTTTTGTGTGTTTCGTGTGTGGATGATTTCTGTATCGTCATTATTGCTGCAACACCATTATTTGAATATCTATGTTTGTCAGGTCCGAACTGTCAATGGAGCTGGTTCTAGTAATTGGTCCGAGCCAGTGTATGCAAAGACCACCCTCTCAGGTGAGAGCATGAAAAGAATGAAACTTTTTTTTTTAAATACTGAATATCACACGTAAAAACATATATAAACAAATATGGAAAGGTTATGTTTTTTTAAGCAGGCACAAGTAAAATACATTCGGCAATTAATTGACTGTTCTTTCATTTTACTTAAGTTCTTGTTGTTTATAATGAAGCTTTTATGTGATTTATTTTCTTTTTTTCTCACAAGAGCGCTTTGAGCATTTGATTTCACTTGGATTAGGCGCCTTACAAATATAATTTATTATTTTAATTATGTTTGAATAAGAGGTAAATGTGAAACTAAAGTCAGTATGTGACCTTCATAACTATGTAAATATATCTATAAGTATGTAGTTTATCAGTGTTGTGTACACATTTACCCTGAGAAATATTACTCCTCATTCTCTGTCCGGTTCGCTGGATAATTTTGGAAAAGTTGAACGTTTTTAATGCATTTTTTATATGATTGTATGTTTCATGTAAACTTGCATTTTTAGTCTTTGGACTTTTTGACAAGTCTGGAATAAAACCTAATTTGAATTCAATTGAATAGTTTGCACTTATCATATATAGATCAAAATGAGGAGAAATGGAAAGTTTGAATTTAAACAATTTCTTTGTTACATCATTTAAAAAAATTAATGAAAAGAATAGAAAAAGTGTCATTTATGAAAGTAAATATTATCTACACAAAGTCGACAAAAACTTTGTGAAACGGACCAGCAATATTTTTGCATATTTGCATAATTTATGACATCATAATGACAGCATCACGATAGCTTAATTGCATGTACATGTATTTTGTTTTTGCCAAAAGGTACCAGGATACCAGTAGGGGCTGTGATAGGGGGTGTGATTGTACCTCTCGTTATCATCGTAATACTGATATTTACTGTGGTGATGCTTAGAAGGTAAGTTAGTTCGACAACCCTAAGGTAGAAAAATCAGCTGTCTGATAATATTGTTACAAATAAAGAAAATAATCTATTGTAGATTAGACGTTAAAAAGGGTAAAATATTTGACCCATCTAAAATGAGCCAAAACGATAATGAATAAAGTAACTGCAGGATTTCCGTAATCTAAAGGCCACTAATATATAATGAATCGTTTAGAACTTTAGAATATGTTTGAAGGTTTTGTATTATAAGGGGCCTCCACAATCATCATGGAAAAATCGTCCTTCAGTTTATCTGATCTTTATGCTTGTGTGTGTTGATTATCTCATTGATGTTACAAAGGAGAAGGAAATGTATGTTGTTTTGAATTGAATTTCACTTCCAGGATCAAACAAAGACGTTTGAAGGATGAACCAGCCGCATCGCTACCAAACGCCGAACGTGAGACTTCTCCAAAGTATGAGAACCCTGTGTTTGATGACTCCCAGCAAGACCCCAATATCTACGAAGACCCGAATGCTGACGACCATACATACCAAGATCTTAATACAGATACACCAAACTACCAGAATCGTATCGACCCCAACACCTATCAAGATCTTAAGAAACCCACCAGCAACATAACCTATCGAGATGTAACAGAAATATAGACGCAACTCAAGCGATGCAGAGGGGTATGGTGCCAACATTGATAAATGCTGGACAAGCCCTAATGTGCATGTTATGCACTACACAGAGTTGCCAATACGTGTATTTATCTTGATGCTCATACAATTTCATTTTTCTACATGCTCATACTACGATACTCATCTATATATTTAAATTGTTACAAGAATTATACTACGAAACTTAAACAACTTCTTTCAAAATGTTATAGAAACAGCAAATATGTTATGTGATTTTTAGATCATTACTAGCTTGCAAGAAAATAGGTGAAAGGGCAGATTTATATCTAAATTCTTCAAATTATGTTCTTCTTTTACAATGCAAAGATGCCACTTCTAAATCGTTCACTACTTTTGTACAGGAAGTTTTTATCTGTTTTTTACTTGAGGTGGTGTAACGTTCCTCATTGTCAGGTCATAGATCTATTTTTAGATTTTTTTAAAACTTGTAGATTAAAAAGATTTATTTAAAAATCTTTTTCCGAAGGCAGAACAAATATCAAATTCTAAGCTTATGTAAGAATATACATGCATAGAACTCAGTATTAAGGCCTATATCTTCCACAAGCACCATCGTCTAAGAATTTCAGTATAATTTCTTTAAAACGCGTCGGTCAACCTTGTGCATTAGTAACTGCAGGTAAAAAAAAAATCGTCATAGAAAGTTAACACTTCGCTTGCTTTCTTCACCTCTATGCCAATTGCTCGGTTGCCACACGTGCAATTTTGCACATAACAATATGCACCAATTGAGGGAAGGATCTTTTTGTGCATCACAGTGGCTTTGTGAAATTACATATTTCTGGTCTTCATAAGGGACTTTTAGATTTGCACAACGAGAACGTGGACTGCTAGGTGTGACATCTTTTTAAGGCAATGTGACGTCCTTTCAAGGCACTGCGGGCACTGTCAGTGCCTTATAAGGACGTCACATTGCCTTTAAAGGATGTCACACCTAGCAGTCCACGTTCTCGTCGTGCAAATCTAAAAGTCCCTATCAGCTCAATGACAACCCTTAAACTGGTGCAGATTAATGTTTCACTGGAACAGTTAAATATTCATGAGGTCTTCAATTTATCTATTCCATGATAATTACTACGTGGCGCACGGAAATTAATTGTGCGGCGTACAGAGAGTTAACTTGTGAAATAAGCTGTCATGAATAAATGAATGCAATGATACACCCATATTTTTCTATTTGTTGTTTTTGTTTCTTTGTTATAAATAGGCGGAGTGGAATGTTACGCCTCCCAAACTTCAAAATATTCATACCAGCCTGAAATAGTAATTGAATGTAGGTAGTTCATTTATTTTGAAGATCAAGAAGAGATGCATAGGTACAACGGAGCAGGCACGTAGCCAGAGTTTGATGTTTTTTTTTTTTTGGGGGGGGGGGGAGGGGGGCATACCAAGCTCCATACCAGTCTGTATCCCACTCCAGACACCCATCTCTTTCTCTCGTTTTGTTTCCCTCTCAATGACTTTGTTGTGGATGTGTGTGTATGTGTGTGTGTTTGTGTTTTTGCGGATGCGAAAGGGGCAGATGTGATATTAGTACAGGCTTTGTGATAAAACTGATAAAAAGGGATACCAGACACACAAAATATTTATATAAACGCATGAAATATAGTTAGTATTCAAGCAAGAAGTAGGATTTCTTTTAATTTTAAAGACAAAACAACACGTCCTCATAAACAACTGATAAAGTTACGAATTGCGAGGGGAGGGGGAGAGGCTGATGTTATACGAAACAAAAATCATAGTCATCTGATCTCTAATGAGCATGAAACTAATGATAACAATTTTTAAAAAGTAATAACGATTAACATGTTTTCACTTTAGCTTTACTTAGCCAACGCCTCTCTCACAAGTGATGTACGTGTATATTAACCATGCCAACTTAACAAGTAAATTTATTGCAGTATCTATCGTTTGAGAGAGCTATACCATGTTACTAATGTAGGTGATGCAGAAGACTGTAAGCTTTGTCGACTTGTATTGACGTTTTCAAATTTAAGAGGGTAAGATTTTTAAACTTTCTGTTGATAAGGCTATTTTTTTTTAAAGCTATAGTTTTCCCCGGCCCACTTATTCTCGACATTTTTAATTTATTTAGCATGTATACAATACGCTTGTATTCATTTGCCCGGACGTATGTGAATTTGAATTTGAATTCATTTCCAACAACACATCTCTCTCTCTCTCTCTCTCCCTCTCCCTCTCTCTCTCTCTCTCTTTCTATCCCTCTCTCTATCTCTGTCTTTCAAAGTTCAGTTATGAATGTATAAAGTTTAAATTATTTTTGTGCGAACTTACACCTAACAAGCATTTTTTCCAAGTAGTTTTGTTTTTCATTTCCTGTAACTAAATATTTGCATTAATATTGCATTACAAGACTAAAAAATAAAAAAATGTCAAAGATATTTCAAAGCTAATTTTCTTTTATATCAGTATGTTTATTATTGTGATTATTTTGCCATTGTTTATATTATGTTGAAAATGAAATAAATTCGTTGTGCATAGAGCGACTACTTCTACTAATACTGCTACTACTACATTCATACATTGCAAAGAATAATAATGATACATGTATACATAACGGAAGAGTATTGTTCGTTGAACAGTGATGGTTTTAAAACGATATTTAGACATAGATCTGCATGCTATTTAATGTACAAGATAAATATGTTTACTACTATAATAGTTAGGTGAAGTTGTTAATGGGAACTAAAATTTAGCAAAAGTGCATGTCGAACTTAGTTCCATTCTTTGACAAGATTAAACAAAATATATATATGAACGTGAAACTTGTTTGTTTTGTGTTTACATTTATACATTAAAAAATACAGTATCTTGTAACTTGTTTACATTTCTAAAAGAAGATACACGTCAAAGTGCCAAGGCATTATAATGAAAGATAACAAATATTTGAACAAATTCAATCATCACTATGTTCATAACACTAAAAGGATGTATTAATATAAAATAAAATCATACAGATGTGCGTTAAAAACTTAATGGCAGCTATAACCGTTAACAAGCAAGTTTATACATTTTTTTTTTATATAAAAGGAAGACAAGTAAAACGAAAGAAAAACGATAGGGGGGGGGGGTTGAGCCCACGTAATGTAGGTGGAAAGATGTCTCCGGAAAGATAGCCTTGTAATTTTTACTCTAATATCATCCGGGAAATCATTCCACAGCTTTGATCCTACAAACGAAATACAAATTTGTCCTTGCGTTGTCTTACAATTTGGTTGATAAAGTGAGCCGCTATTTTTCTTCTTGTTGTACACATGTATCTGTGCTGTTTCAATTTCAATTAAATTTCAATTTCAATTCTTAATTTATTCATGTTTCCAACAAAACATTACAAATCAATTATAAATATTTACACAAAAAAATAACGTAGAAATACATGTTGGAAACAGAGGGGTCCACTAAAAAGCCATGCTTGTAGTCTTCAAATGCTACTTAGGAATGACAATAATTGACTAATGGGTGTGGTAATTCACCTTTTACCAAATCATACATAGATGTTGATACAAGACGTAGATGAAGTTTAAAACTAACAAATATTTCTAGAATTTAGAAAAGAGGTTTAGAGTATGTTTTAAGTTAACTGAATATAATTGCTCTCATTGCAATTTTATAACATAAATATAGCCTATACAATTTAGATTACTTTTGTAAGTGCTCCCCTATAATTCTATACTCCACACCTAATATCATTTAATGGGTTCATTAAATTGAATAATGAACATGATGCTAAATTGCTACATGTATATATTTCCTTGTTTTTATATTCTGGATTGGGTGTGGCTTTGAGCTCACGTTTTGGTGTCTTTTTATCGGACTGCATTGATTTATTCTTTAAATATAAAAAATAATAAAAAGCAGTAACAAGTGTAAAGTGTACTCGCATGATCATTGGCCTTGAGCTTTACGCACAATCTGTGTAAATGTACAAACAATACATTGACTCAAACACCGAGGATTTAACGAATGGACGAGCGACAAATTCAAATTGTTAATTTATCTATTCTTTTTACAAGTACTGAACCTATGTATAACAATACATTTTACTATTGTATCAGTAATCAAGAGTCAACAAGACATGTTTTGATATCCTGTATAGTCCAGTCACCTCTCTGTTTTTTTTTTATTCTTTTAGTCTAAGATGCCATTGGACCTTATAAAATTTGAAGACATATGAAAGCAAATTTCAAAGTTAGTTTTGCACTTCTTTTTACTTTCAGCTTTCTTTGTCCAACATGGCTCGAATGAGGTTGATCCCGCTCCTAGTCCTACTGTATCTTCTCATTTTGACTGCGACTGAAGAGATGTCATCCCAACACCATGGTCTCCAGCTCCAACGTTTGGCACGCACTCGCTGTTCCCAAGGTCCTTACAAGAGGAAAATCTCCTGCACCAGAATGGAACTTACGGAAGTTCCCCAGGATCTGTATCCAGAAGTCGAAGAACTAGACCTTTCATTGAATGAGATTCGATCCATTTTTAACTCCTCGTTCACTAGATACCAACGGATTAAGAATCTAAATATTAGTTATAGTAAGTTAAGTGAGATAGCTACTGGCAGTTTTTATGCCATGCCAATGCTGCAGTACCTGGATCTGAGTAAAAATTGGTCGTTGAGATCTATTACATCTCAAATGTTTAACTTCAGTATAAACTTATCCCATCTTATTCTTTCGTCAACAGGTTTAGAATCTGTCCCCGGTGACATATTAAGATTGCTCCCAAACCTACAGTTATTAGACCTAAGTTTTACTGACATGCTTTCACACATTAACATATCTTCTTGTAGTTCAAAAACTCGCATACTAAACATCGTTTTTTTGTTGAGTAAAATTAAAGCGTTGGTACCCAGCAGATTCAGAATAGATTGCGAAATAAATTCGCTCAATTACAAAGCGATCAAATACAATTCGATTGACCCTCCAACCATAGCAACAATACGAGCCAGAGTTCTCTCATTTCCCAATCGTAGACTGAGGCCAGATCTTTGGGACCAATTTTTTAGAGGCATTGGAATGTCTCATATCGAGGAGCTTCTTTTACATGCCACGAAGATAGCAAGGATTGACCAGCACCATTTCGCGTTGTTACGAAACAAACCGCTCCAGGTTCTCGACGTTTCCGGAAATCACCTGCCCGATCTTACCCAAATGGGATTTTTAGATTTACCCCTAGTTTCTACCCTTATAATAGACAGATGTCGTATTAAAAATATTGGTCCTGTAAATTTTGCCAGAATGAAAGGCTTACGTATTCTACATGTTAATCATAATAATATCATAGATATCAACGATAGTTCTACTTGGGACGTAGACTTACGCGAATTATATCTCGCTTTCAACTCTCTAGTACAAATCTTTGAAAGATCATTTGAAGGATTAACAAATTTGACAAAATTGGTCCTGAGAGGAAATAAAAATTTACTTTATTTGAAGATTACAGCTTTCACAGATTTAAGGAACCTTAAGTACTTAGACTTATCGGAATGCTGGTTAATAGTAAATTTACATCTATCTGTAGATATCCCAAATCTCGAAACATTTGTCTACAGTGATTGTAAAAAACCGAAGTGGCCAGATCAAATCAAACAAATTTTCAATCAAACTAAGTCACTTAAACATGTGATAATAAGAAATGCCGGTTTGAACACATTATGGATTACATTTGTAAAGAATAATATTTCACTGTTTGGAGGATTGAGAACTGTTATCAGCCTTGATGTAAAGAAAAACCCATTGAAAAGATTGGAATCAGGGATATTGACTGATTTGTTGTTGCTACAAGAGTTAGATCTGAGTGACTGTGAACTCAAAGGGATCGAGGTGAATGCATTTGAAGGTCTTCAAAGTCTGCAGATTTTACACCTAGAAGGTAATCAGTTACTCGACCTTCCACATGGGGTACTTTGGAATATGGCATATCTAAGGAACGTTTCCTTGGAGGGCAACAAATTGAAGTATCTTGATAGAGATCTCTTTTCTAATTCATCAAAACTTCGTAATCTGACACTCGCTAGAAATCAACTCACCGGATTGAACCACAGTACTTTTGAGCCAATATTAAATACCCTCTTCTCCATTGATATTTCGGAAAACGAGATTGCTTGTACTTGTAATGTAAAATGGCTTCCGTTATGGTTATCCGGGTCTATCACACTTTTGAACGAAATCGACACTAGATGTTCCTCTGCCTCACTGGAAGAACTGCAAGAAAAGCCACTGATGTCATTTTAAACCAGCGGAATTCTGTGGCCCAAACATCGCTCTCTACTGTTCACTTCCTATTGTAACCGCATGGATTATCATGGTATTGATCTTTGCCTACCGTCATCGATGGTTCTTGAAATACAAACTATTCCTCCTGAAAATGGCAGTCATTGGCTATCGGGAGATCCGAGATGCTCGAGATTTTGACGATTATGAATTTCATTTGAACGTGATGTTTGCAGAGGAAGACGAAGGGTGGGTTAGAGATCGCCTCCGTCCAGTCTTAGAAGAACTGATGCCGGAATGCAATAGGAATGTGTACGGCGATAATGACCTTCCGTTAGGTATGCATTACTATGACGCAGTTCATTACGTCGTTGAGAAGAGCTACAAGACCGTTGTGTTGGTCAGTAGGGCTGCTATCCAGGATAACTGGTTCATTATCCAGTTTCGGACCGCTGCGGATCAGGTCAATGACACACAAATAGAGAACATGGTGGTGATTTTCCTAGAGGACATTCCAGATGATGAGCTTCCATTCTTGGTTAGGCTGTACCTGAGTGATCGTAAACCATACCTCAGCTGGGATGAGGATGAGGGGTTTCAAGAGTACTTCTGGAAAAAGCTGATCAAGATGTTGAAGATAAATCTGAGGTGCAACAATGTTATTCCTCCTGAGTAACTGAATGCGAGTAATGTATTAATGTTATAATGCCAGTGACTCTCCTCCACGATTATGTATTTGACGTAAAAGATGGGTAAAAATGGGAAATTGGTAATCATGCGGGAGCAATTTCGCCACAGCGGCCAAAGTTATTTCAGCTAACGATTGTCCATTTGCATTTTGCTTGAAGCTACTTATACCGCAAAAACACAAGGTGAAAAAAGCCATGAGATCTGCAAAAGAATCACTTAAGTATTAAAGCGCACAGAGTTCAAGTTCTGTAGTTTTAACCCTCATAATATCTCGTTTCAATGCGCACTCACCATGCATGAACTCTTAATCACCATGCTATTATGTATATATATATCATCTAATAACAATTTCGATGTGCTCACAGGTGTCTGCATCACTGTACGTCAAATTAATAATTATGACAACTAGGTATTGATTCAACAAGAAGAAGCTTTTGCCTGACAAAGAGCATTTCGAAATGGAAGAAATACAATTATGATTATAAAAAAATATTTAGAAAATAGCTTTCTTCGCTTTCAAATGGCTTTCTAAAAATATAAGTGAAATGTAGTCTCATTTGTTTCCTGTAAAGTAAATGTGTATCATAGTTAAGTAGAGCATTGTATACACCTCTAAAAGAAATGTTTATATATTGCAAGTACATGCCATTGTCTTAATGCGCAGTCGATTGACTAGAATTGGAGACATTTTGAATTTTTCATTGGATTCAATGTACGTGTTACAACTGGATTGAGAGTATATTATGTTATGTTCACATACTATTAAGTTCCATTGTATTTGTGTATAAAAAACATTCTATGGCTCCATTAGTTTGTAATTTACACAGAAGCCATTATCCCTGCATGTTTCTATTTTGTTTATATCATAATCTGCATGTCGTTTTGGATACACATATTAATTCCACAAAATGTTGGAGCAAATCAATTTTAGTCACTATCTTAGTCACTATCTATCACAATCTAGGTATCCAATTAATTAGTAAAAGTTAGAAATGATAAGCAACTACTGAAGACAAACAATGAAAAAAAATTCTCCCATGTAAAATATATTATAATGTTGAAATACATGTATAATACTCCTATATCATGTCTGCAACTATGTAGTCATTATTATATAGCAAAGGACTTCTGGGAGAACTACCACGTGGATTAACGGGCAATTAACCTCGGACATCTATTGGACAGGGAGGTGTCGACAAGACAACTAATCCATTAGACAAATATCTCCGTATATTATTGACAAGGTCGTTATTACTTTTGGATAGTTTCTACTGTCAAAGGGTAATAGTCCGAGTGAAGATGTCTGACTGGTTTGCATGATAAGGTAGTTGTCCGGAATTATTTGTCCGGATGAGCAATTACATGCAGTAATACAATTATTTCATGTATAAATGAATATTCCTGTGAGTTGTTATTTGCATGCTAAAAAAAAAGCATGATTGTGTACATCTTAGAGTATCGAGAGTTTTGCTCCAGGAAAATAATCAAATCATTTTATGACAAAGTATTTAACACAATGAATACTATAAACCCACATTGTGGAATCTCTATCTCTTTGCCTGCCTCCCATCGACAGTTACCGTTGTTATTATAATAATGAAGTGTCATAATATTAATCGTTAAAAATATAGGAACATTTTGGGTGCCATTAACTCCCTCTATATTGGATACTGCTACGGTATTCCTGTGATCAATAAGGATAATATAATCAAATTTTAGAACGCTTGCTCGGTTTTAAAACCACTCCCCCTCCCCCTTGGAAAATCATAGATCCACCCCTGTAACACAAGTAGATAATTAATAATTAATACCAGAAACCACAACCTTTATCAGAATCACTTTTATCAATCTTTAAGACTTTATGTCGTATATCAATTTGATACAATTAAAAATCTATTGCGTTTTAAATTTCTTGTTCTTGTTTCTTATAGTAGTTTCCCTGTCCCATTTGTAAGCTCGAATACGACACGAATAATGTGCACGAAATGGGCAGCTACATGTAATTCGAGATACTAGTTCGTCAACCAAATGTGAATGTATGACAAGGAAATAAGGAGGTTACATGACAGGCAGGCCTATTTCCAGAAAATATTGAAAATACGGAGAGAGAGAGAGAGAGAGAGAGAGAGAGAGAGAGAGGGATAGAGAGAGAGAGAGGGAGAGAGGGGGGGCAGGAGGGGAAAGAACCGATAAGAAAGAGAGATGGACAGAAGCACACAAAAACAAAGAGACAAATAAGAGAGATAAAGGAAAGAGAGGGAGAGATAGAAAGAGAGGATGGGAGGTAGCTGGGGGAGAGATGTATAACAGAGAGGAGAAGAGAGAGAGAGGGGTGGGTATTTAAGGAAAGGGAGAAGCGAAAGAGAGAGAGAGAGAAAGAGGGGGGCACTATAACACTTCACTTCAGAAAAATGGGACAGCTTCCACAATTAAGGACGGCGAGGCACATACTTCTTTCTTAGACTCAAGTATATATTTATTTTTTTTACCAAAAAAATAAATAAAATCACGCCCATAATGTTCTAAATTCAACATTATATTGAGACTCTTAAAAAAATATATAAATGAAATGAGTTTTAAAAATCTGGATCGAACTAGACCATCTAGTGTACTTTTGATGAAATAATATGAGGCTGTAAATACAGAATTCACCAAACAGAAGATGTCCCTCTCAGAGTCAGATTTCCTGCAATAACCAGGAAAATTATGGAAAGTTTACTCAAACAAATGGGATGCTCACAAGAAAAATGACACAGTTTGCCAACTTGCATTTTATTGATTGTAACTTCAAAGCTTAAGGCCTAATCCCCCTTTGTTGCATATTTTACTTACATTTCTACTGATCTGTTTCTCAGTTTTCTCGAAATTTATTAAAACTTACTTGATATCAGGGTAGACTACTGCTTATGTATCATAAAGACGATGATTCAAACAGTTTTTCTCCTAGGATATGTAAACCTATCCATGTTGTTATAAGTAAAACAAAGTGACGAATTTGTTATAGAAGAATTTCATAAACATGCAGGTAGGCGCCTTTACATTGCTTTAATCTCGCATGCCGTAAGGAACGAAGAAAGTTAGAAAGATAAGTTGTATGTAAAGCCCGTCTGCACTAGTTTGGCATGGAAGGATTAGACCTCCCTGCAACGTCACTAGCAGGCAGGCACGTACGCAGGGGAGGGGGGTTGGGGGTCGAACCCCCCTAGAAAAAATGTTGTGTGTTTGTTTTCGAGGAAACCCCTCCCCCTCAATTTTTATTTTTATTTAAAAAACATTTTTAAAAAATTGTGGTAATGGGTGCTAAAAAGGTGACCTTACCCCCCCCCCCCCCCCCCCCCCCCCCCCCAACGGAACGAAATATCGATCGGCCAAATTTTCAAATTTCGGGACAAAACAAAACAAAATGTCTGACGACGTATAGTCCAGTCAAAATAGCGAAGTTTATTGGGTATCCTTATACCTTTGTGATATTGAAGATTATATGCACAATTTACAGATTCTATTCATTACATTATTTTGAAATAATGTTCAACTGTTTCTCTTTTTTTGAAAACATTGGATGATTGTTATTTTTCATTTCAATCGGACAATTTGATGCAAATTTATAGGAAAATATGAATAATTTCTTTATGACGAACCCTTATTTCTAGAATGTGCCATTTTTGGTATTTCAATTAATTCAGTTGGGAACTTTATAAATGCAAAATTATGAAAAATATGAATATCTTTTCATGGCAGCGATGTTAATTTTAATACTATCCAACTTTTAGTCTTGGAATTATTCTGGAAATGTGGTCATTGTATTCACTGACATTAAGAATAGAAGCACTTTATTATATAAGCACTAAAAAACCTTTGATTTGGTACTTGCTTTGCAAATTAATGGGGAAAATAAATTTTCTAGTAAGATAATTGCCAATTGGCACACTCTAAAAATCAAGTCCCTTCGAAATTTAATTACACTTGCCATAGTGTCATATCAAAATTGGACTGTGCGCATTTCCGGGGTAAGAAAGTAACAATGCAGATTCATATTTGACAAGTTTTGACACCTAAACGTTGGTATTATGACACAACTGATGTTAAAAACTATGATTGAAGCGCTAGCGTGGTCGGTCGTTCCGAATTAGCTGTTCATCGAATTAATCGTGTTCAAGATCGACAGAGGATGGACGACTTTGTTCGAAATAGACTACGATCAGGCGCGCCGGAAGCAGTTTGGGATTGGGGGGGGGGGCAAACATTCCAGGGGGCTCACCTTCCGAGGGCAGTGACGTAATGAGAAAAAACGTTCGGAAGGGGGGGGGGCAGACGAAAAATCTGCATCACCACCAGTCTTACACGTTACATGCAGGTCCCGCGGAACGTTTTTCAAAGTGAAGTATTAACGATCAGGTAGAGCGTAAATTGGCGTGGGGTCCAGCCTCGGCAGGGTGTCAAGGGGCTGAGCCCCCGGAAGCTTAGGGATTTTAGGTATTTAATTACGGTTAGATGAGCATCCAGGGGCCTCTTTAAGGCCATTGACGTGTTCCAGAGGGGGGGGGGAGCCCCCAGAAGCTCAGAGGTTTTAATATTTAACTACGGTCAGATGAGCAACCAGGGGCCGCCCTAGGGCACTTGGTGGGGTCCAGGGGGCAGGGCCCCCGGAAGCTCAGGGGTTTTAGGTATTGAATAATGGTCAGATGAGCATCCAGGGGCCCGCCTTATAGGGCCCTTGGTGGGGTCCAGGGGGCAGAGCCCCCGGAAGCTCAGGGGTTTTAGGTATTTAATAATGGTCAGATGAGCATCCAGGGGCCCGCCTTATAGGGCCCTTGGTGGGGTCCAGGGGGCAGAGCCCCCGGAAGCTCAGGGGTTTTAGGTATTTAACTACGGTCAGATGAGCAACCAGGGGCCGCCCTAGGGCACTTGGTGGGGTCCAGGGGGCAGGGCCCCCGGAAGCTCAGGGGTTTTAGGTATTGAATAATGGTCAGATGAGCATCCAGGGGCCCGCCTTATAGGGCCCTTGGTGGGGTCCAGGGGGCAGAGCCCCCGGAAGCTCAGGGGTTTTAGGTATTTAATAATGGTCAGATGAGCATCCAGGGGCCCGCCTTATAGGGCCCTTGGTGGGGTCCAGGGGGCAGAGCCCCCGGAAGCTCAGGGGTTTTAGGTATTTAATTACGGTCAGATGAGCATCCAGGGGCCCGCCTTAGAGCCCTTGGTGGGGTCCAGGGGGCAGAGCCCCCGGAAGCTCAGGGGTTTTAGGTATTTAATTACGGTCAGATGAGCATCCAGGGGCCCGCCTTAGGGCCCTTGGTGGGGTCCGGGGGCGGAGCACCCGTAAGCTCTGGGGTTTTAGGCATTTAATTACGGTCAGATGAGCATTTTTTATGCCTTATTTGTGACATTGGCAGGTCACTTATTTTTTCTCTCCGTCTTTCTTTCTTTTTCTCTTTAACATACTTTTTCAAAAAGTGAGGGGGGAGGGGCTCGAGCCCAGCCACTTTGCAGACCATGTCATAAAGGCTTCTAAATAAGCGTATTTTTCGCCCGACTGTAATTTGGGAATTTCTTATTTTCCAACAAACGCATAAAAAGGTATGACTTTAAAAAAAATGGAGAAAAAATACCGGAAAATCATGTCATAACAGCAACATGTGTAAATCACTGGTATCGTATAGATATACCCCCCCCCCCCCCCATCAGTACGCCAGCGTTCAGGGGCTCATGTCTTCTCACCCCTATAACAAAACCAAAAAAACAGACACGTTTTCCCATTCTCGCACAATATGTCCACGATATGCGCGTATCGCTATTATAAACCGTATAGGTAGCATGCGCAATGTTTATAAAAATTTAATTCCTGTGAACTTTCCTTTTCTTTGAATGGAATGGTATATGTGCTTTAATTCAGGTTTTTATTATTGTTATGTTCTTTTGGGTTAAAAATACAAACCATGTTTATTCCTTTACTGCTTTTTTTTTTTTTTTTTGGAGGGGGGGGGGCGTTTTGGGGGGGGGCAAAAATGCGTTTTGCCCCCCCACTTTTTTGACTGGGGGGGCAACTGCCCCCCTGCCCCCCCCCCCCCACTTCCGGCGCCTATGACTACGATCATGCACTTGTGTCTTTCCGCAGCATTTATTTGCATGAATGCGTGTAAATCTTCTCAATATGGACATGAAATTCCTCATAATTCTGGACAACACATTATTCGTATGGAGAATGTCATCCGCGATGCAGTCACCTACTGCGAGCACGCCAAGCGAAAGACTGTCTAGCCAAGAGAGAGAGAGAGGTCTGCTACTTATACACTAAACTACATATTATAGCATGTACTTTTCCAGCCAACTCCTCGGACAAATTCTCTTTTTTACCCAAATCTGTGTAAAAATAAAAAATCATACGATAAGGTTGGGTAAAAATTTTGCCCAACTTTTGGGTAAAAAATTACACAAGAACAAAGTTAACGAGTACCCAGGATGAGTTGGGTAAAAATTACCCAATGTTGTGTCAAAAAGGGAACATGGTTGGCGTTGGGTAACATTTACCTTTTACATTGGGTCAAATATATTGCACATCAGTTGGGTAAAACATGAAACATTTGCTGGGTAAATTTTTACCCAACCACCCCTGTGTCAAATTTTACCCAACAAACATGCATATTCCCTTTTTACCCTCGTAAAGTGTAAAATTTTACCCAATATTGGGTATTTTTTTTTAGAGTGCATATTCTGCAAACAGTTAAGTGCTTTGCACCACTGATATCTTCTAAAACATTTTTAGTATGCTGTTATGAGGACTATTCCTAAGATCTTTATTACTAGCCTACATTTTCTTAACTGATCTCTGAGAAGTGACTAAATTTTGTTTATAAGTGGCCCAAACATTATGTGGAGCGGTGTGTGCAGCGCTTTGTAACCGCAAGAAAAACGCGCTATACCAAATATCTTTTGGATTGGATTGGATTGGATCTGCGATCGATGGAACAAATTCTTTTGCAATTTTGGGGGTTAAAATGCTTGTCTGGACTCTAGTGGTGAAAAAGTGTGAATATAAACAAGAAAATTAAATAGGCACTGGTGATTTCTGCAAATACCAATACGCATGAGGCGCCCCAACTGCCCCGACATCATAGTTTTTGTTGTTGAAAATTACTATGAATCGACTGGTCCATCACCACCTTAGCTTGAACATCATGCCGTCCAACATAATATTTTGATGACTGAAATACATTTTCAATACTTATTAATATCAAAATAAAACAATAAAAAGACTAAAAATTGGAAACGTTGATACCCGGAGGAATTACAAAGGGACACCCCGAAGTACGGGCCCGGGACACAAAACGTTTTTAATTTGAGCAAGAACCTTATTTCACTTCTTCCTACAATTTTAGTATTGATGATAATCATATTAAAACATTCCTACCTGCAAACACGAGGATAAGACCTCCAAACCCCCGTAAGTTTAACCAACAGTGGTTAAAAACTGTAACCTACAACCCACTAAAGTTTAACCAACAACGTGTGAATTAATCAAAGCAGAATTAACCTACAAAGGTTACAATTTTATTTTAACCAACGACCCATGTAAGTTTAACCAACATCATGTGAATCAGCCCTGAACAAAGCATAAATAACCAACAAAAGGTTAAAGTTTTAATCAAAAAATGGTTAAAGTTTAATAAACACCATTTTTTCCAACATTGAGCAAATATGTTTATTGATTAAAATTTGTAATCAACCACGGATTAAATTTTAATCAACAGGTTAAAGTTTAACCAACAATTGTGTGATTCATATGGTAATCCGTGATTGATTAAAATTTTCACCAAGTTGATTAAAAATGTGAATACTTGTTTACCATTTGTATACAAGGTTTCTCGGACTGGCTTATGACCATATACACTTAGGCTTATCCCATATTGATACAACTTTATGTCAAAAATGATTCATTTAAATTTTAAAAAAAATTCTACTAGGGAAATGTCTAAATGTCCTAAATCCCGGCCTAAATTATCGTAAGTGGCACTTATAAATCGTAAGTGGCACTTATAAGGGGCACCACCTTTCTGGCTGGTTTCTACCAAGAAACTTTTATATTGTTGCACGTATATGTATATATGACATGTATTATATTCCTTTTATGTAACAATGTATAGTTATATTATGTAGGCCTATAGGTGATTGTTTAATTGCTTTAGTGAAACAAATTGAATTGATTGGATCGAATTGAATTGCTCGCCGTGATAATATACAATCGTACAGGGGGCGCTGTAAAAAGCATACACAGTCTTAGGAATTGTGCTGGTATTTCTATGAATGTCAATTGGTTTCTCCCTTTTCTCTTGCGAAAAAAATCAGACATGAAAAAGGTGGAATAAATAATACATGTAAGAAATAAGAAAATCAGACAACGTATAAACAGACAACATATAAGAGAACCGTAACTTTTAGAGCCATTTTCCACGGAATAATGCACGGATGACGCGAGTGCTACGAAAAGAGCTCATTGTAGAATGTCTCGTAACAGGTACAGTCTCTGGCCAAAGCTCTATGTACAGATGTACGTGTGCCACGTTGCTAAAGTGGTTTCACATTGAGCTACTCATCATATTTGAGAAATGCGGATACTTGAGGAGAGAATTAGATGATTTTAGGCAGGACTTGAAGACATTCTCGTCATTTCACAGTTACGTTTGCTCCAGCCTTCATCGTGGAACTCAACCTTATAACTTCAAAATGTGTGAAATTACTTTATTTCTCAGTATTTTCGTGGCTCTGTGTTTGCTTGCCGTTTCGCAAGCAGTGGAATTGACTTTTGAATTGCCAGATAATGCTAATCAATGTTTTCACGAGGATGTGGAAAAAGATGTGAAAATCATTCTTGAATATCAGGTAAATATATTCTTCGTTAGAAAGTGCAGTATACTATTGTATTGTTTGCTTTTTTTAGTTACATTTCTTCCAAAAAACGGGTTTTTTAATGAAATATTTAGCTTCAGTCCCATCTACAAAGAATAGTGTGTGTTAACAAAAATTGGCCAAATACTGAAATAGTTGTCATTTTTGTATTCAATTTCATTGATGGGTTTATGTTTCGGGTTCACCTTTTGTGAGTAGAGCCTACAGCTAGAACTGAGTGTCTTTAGATAACTGTTAAACTCTTGTAAACTGAGTCTTTGTGGCATTGTTGTCAGGCAAAAAAGAGAAAGAGAAGAGAGAGCTGCAGCTGAGCTGAGACTGCACTGAGACTGAGACTGAGCACACATAGCTGCATTACTATCCTGGTCGGTTCACCTCCTGGCCTGGCTGTGTATTAAAACTTAAAGCTGTGCTATTGATTCTCAACATTTCAAACACCACTGTACAAAACTCAACTGATTTCACTCAACATCGGTGCTACTATTGTCTTGATGACACCTAAATTATTTTAAAAAATAGTAGTACAATTTGTTCAACTTACCAATATTAGAAAGAATAATTTAAAAATTCAAATTGTGAGTCCACTGTCAAACTTGCCGATCAGCCACATCGACTTCATTGCGTGCATTTGTGTGTCATGTGTGTATGGATATGGACTATTCGTGAGTGCAATTCTGCCTATTAACACATAGTGCAGTGCTAGAGGTCAATACGCATTAGCATTGACTCTCTAGTCTATGCTTTGCTGGATTGAGTGAGAGTGAGAGAGAGAATAGAGTAATAGACCATTTTCAATTTTCATAAAAACCTTTAAAATACTTTTGTCATTTAATGTAATCAAATTTAATGCACAGATCTTTGTTAGCTAATATTAAGTGCCTCGTTACAAATTATTTAATTCACCCTCTAAAAATAATATGATTTTAATTGTCAGAAATGCAACTTGCATACATATAGGTCTACAGTACATGTAAGGCCAAATAACAAAAATAATGTGTTTCTCGTCCAGACTTTGCAGGGCATTACTATTTACTATTTTGCAATTTTTTTCCAAGACGGCTGCCATGCTAATTATAGCTGGCCAAGCCTATTTATTCACACATATTGTGCTATGTGAGTATACTGATGCAATGTAGGAGTAGACAAAACAAATGATTTTTATCAAAATGTATATCACAGGCTTTTTTTTTTGGGGGGGGGGGGGGCTTTTTTCTTCTGAATAGTAAATAGTAAAAAAAAAAAATTTAAAGGAGGCAGGCGGGGATGAGAAACACTTCATTTTTTGTTATTTGGAGAACGTATTGCTAGGTAGGATTAACATGGCTTGTTCTACCTAACAACACGTAATGTATGCATTTCGCATTCTGACTATTGAAATTGAAATATCAAAATGATATATTGTTGAAACCCTCACTTTTAAATATGTCGCTCTGAAATCGTACCGTTAGTGTTACCGTTAATGAATTCATTTCTGTAACTTCCAGCTGATTCAAAGCTGAAAATTAGGTTTAAAGATCTGAAGAAACTGCTATTGATTTTCCTCCATCATGTCCTGCTAGCATTTTCGAATTATCTGGTTTGCTAATCTACTTGACCAAAACAAAACCAACGGCCCAAAACTTGGTTCCTACGCCCATGAAAATTTACAGGATTCTACGTTTTGCGCAACATTTGAATCAAGTTTTTTAAGACCGAACTTTGGTATATCAAGTTCACACAGAGATTCGGTGCTTGCGCCAACCAAGAAATGTACACAATGAATACAAATACAATGCTGATAGTTTGATACTAATACAATGTCGACTTTCATCAACGGTTTCTCTGATGTAATTGACATGAATAATACTGTTTATCCAGGCCATTTTCATCGAAATCATTTGTCACTATATTGGAGTCTCCATCGCTTTTCTTTGTTTAACCAGTGGTTTCCTATGTGTTTAGGTTGTAACAGGTGGGCAGTATGATGTAGATGCTTTGGTGAAGTCCCCCGATGGCAATGTGGTCTACAAGGAGAAGAGGAAGCAGTACGACACATTTACCTGGACGACAGATCAAGCTGGGACGATAGAATTCTGCTTCAGCAACGAGTTCTCGACATTTGCACATAAGGTTGTCTACTTTGACTTCATGGCTGGAGATGAAGATCCGCTTATTAGAGATATTGGAGCTCATGCTACAGCATTAGGACAGGTGAGTGGAACCCTTCTTTCATCAGATAACTTGATCGTGCCTGTGCTCCGTGATTGAAATCATCTTGCTCATACCCCCCCCCCCCAAAAAAAAAGGGGATTGAATCCTTTTTTAGTAATAAAATACAGCAAGGGTAATATGCAAGTGATGACAATATTTGTTTTTCCCTTTTTCTTCTGTTCTGATTTTTTGGTTATGCAATCATTAAATGATCATTTTGGGAGAGTAGAAATGATGTTATCCATAAATAACATCTAAAGATGCACCTTCAAAGTAAAAAGTGCTGGCAGGGGTTTTACTTTTGTACTGGTAGTAATATTCCTGTCTGTTTCAGAGTTAAGACACTTACAATTGGGTCCGTATTAAAAAAATTCAGTTAAATCTGACCATAGTTGTACAAAGACCACATTTGACAAAGGAAACTTAGACCTCAGACTTAATTGTCAAACTTTGTTTTGAAGGCGTAAGGGTTTCAATTTTAGCTACCAGGTATGTATAGGCTATATAGTAATTGACCAATCTATGATAAAAATCCTAAAATTACTTCTAATTGCAAAATATTGAATGCCAAGTTTAATGAATTCCAAGATTAATGTCCTGCTAACATGACATTACCCAATATGTTGCAAGCATGTTTATTTCCAAAATTTTTAGTCCCATGGTTCATGTACTTCTCTTTCGTCATCTTCGAAGACGATACCTGGTTCAAGAGTTAAAAAAGTGTATTTTTTTAACCTTTTCGCCCATCTAATCTCATTGCAGCTAGAGACATCTTGTGTAACGATCCATGAAGCACTCAAAGCTGTAGTCAACTTCCAGACTCACTACAGATTACGAGAAGGAAAGGGTCGAGGTCAGGCAGAACGTCTTAACAAGAGGGTTCATCTCTGGTCTTTAGGAGAATTCTTCTTAATTCTTGTCATTGGTATCGGTCAAGTAATAGTTCTTCGTAGTTTTTTCACAGACAAGAAAAACAAAACTGGCCGAGCGTAGTCACTAGTAAATGGTTTTGGTTTGTCACCCTATAGTTCTTAGATAAATGGTTGATTTGAATGTTCTGGTCTCTGTCTTTGTTCATTGTTTGCCTTATATTGATGACTCTGTTTAGTGATTTTTGTTTCTTAGTGAAATAAAGTATGAAGAAAAAGTCCATGCCCAAATAAGTGTGTATTCTATTGCCATTACACATTTTTGTGTTATTATGATTTCATTACATGAATTTTGTACTTTTACAGTGTGGTAAAAAACATGCCAAATTCATTAAAATTGTACGGGCAGTACCGCACTACTGGTTATCTGATTTGAAACAAAGATAAATGAGGCAAACAAAATAAAGATCAGCTGTACATTAATTAATTTTTTCTCCATTTTCTCTCGGATTTTCTCAGTTAATAGCTACATGTAGTTTGCAATTCAACCTGGGTAATAAGTTCATTTGTTTGAAAGCAGAAAAATAAGAGAAACAGAATGGTGAAGTTTGAAATAGATCGGACCAACAATAAGAAAGTAATGAATATTTGAAATATGAAATCATTCAGCCCCTTCTCCCTTTGGGCACTACTCTAAATATATCATGGATAGTGTATAGTTCCTCTAAAAAGAAAATGCCCCACTGAGTAATGAATATTTTTTTAAATTGATATTTTATTAATTGAGTGTGTTGGGAAAAATGGGGGAATTGTTTGACACTTCATCACAATGATTATGATATTAATGATTTGGCCAATTTGAAGAGCCAGTATGTTTAGCGATTACAACTTTCAAAAATTCATAACTTTCTAATTTGTGTCCAATTTCAATCAGACTTTCACCATTCTGCTTCTATGACTTTTTGTACTTTATTCAGGCCCGATCAAAACCTGATTTAAATCGGTTTCCCAATCTTTCTCTATTCTTCCCTGTTATTTTCCAATTTTTCTTACTCAATAGGGGAGAAATGTTGTTAGATGCCATTTTTTCCTCCAAATTCTCTTCTTTTTCTATTTTTTACTCAATGGGGGCGTGGTTGCGGGAAAAAAAAAAGATAAGTTGTCATTAAAGTTGGATTTCCCTTTAAAGATGCCGGTAGGCAAAATTAATCAATAGTAAATGGTAAAATCCTAAGTATTCGAAAGAGAAACAAATCTATTAAGAAAGGCATAAAGTGTCTAAAAGGAGTACGGAAAATCCTAATATATATTCATGGTATATTTTGCAAGGTATGCATGGTTTGATGATGTGATTATTATCATCATTATTCTCCAGCTGACAAAAAATTCGCACAGGGCAGTTTAGAGAGTAATGGTTTTGATACAGTTTTGGTACATACAGACTAAATTCCAAATATAAGCATTGTAATCATGAGTAACATATATATGAGGAAGTATATGATGATGATGTTCTAAAGGTTCATTATGTACAAAAAGGCAAATTCAATATATTCAAGATAATTTGATATTTAAGATATTTTGGGTCAACAAAAAATAAACAAAACAACAACAAGCAAATGTTGGTTGTTGGTTGTTATTTTTCACCTGACTGCTAAGAAAGCATAAATGCTTGTAAGTAAGCAACCAGACGGCCGAGGGACCTGGTAATGAGGATTAATGAGTTACCAAAGGGCACTAACGCATCGACTTGGTTTCGAACCCGGGTCACCGGATTATGAGACCACTGCTCTACCGACTGAGCTATCGCGCCTCCTCTGTCTGTCAAGCATAGACCTGTCATGCATAAAAAATAATATACATGTATATAAAGTAAAGTGATGTGTCCATATGCAAAACTGTTGCCCAACATTTACAATGCAAAATGTTAAGTTAAATCATGGCTTTGGGGCTTTATAGGCATACAGGCTGTAAAGTGAAATTACACAAATTAAAAGTAAGCTATTTAGTGTTTTGCGCAATATTCATATTTTCCAATCTTATTGGAGATTTTTTATGTTTTTGTTAAAGTTATATGTCAAGACTGTAACTGTATGTGGAATTTTGCGAGATTTATAAAGTAGACTCTTGTCTTATTCTTTGACGATTAGTGGCTGTTATGTATGTGATAATGTGTGAAACAAAAACATACGAAGGGACATAATGGGAAGACATATTTTAGTGTTCCTTCACTTTGATGTAGATAGTTGGGAATATCATTCTTAGGTATTTATATTGTCAGTTAGGATTCTACATCGTATGTGTTTTCTTTATTGTCTTTATACCAAGGTGTAAATTTACATTTCATTTTTATGTTTGAATCATTAAAAAAGACGTTTGTAAATAGATGATAAGAGATATTTTGTATAGTCATATGTTGTTTGTGTGGATATTAAGAGAATAAAGACATATGATATTAGAATGTTAGCTAATGTTTATGTAGACTAGTTTGAAATATGTGTAACCATGTACTCACTGGCCTCTGTTCGTTTTGAAGAGAAGGGTGTGAAAATTATGTATTTATGAGTAATGCATTGAATCCTCTTTATGCTATATTGTAGTAACATTTGACAAAATATCTGTGTGCATGTGTGTAGATCTATTGTTGTGAATCTGTTTGATTTCATTATATTCTAATCTCTCCCAATACAGTGATCTTGCTTAATTCTGTTTTATCTGTAGATTATTTTTTGCTGATTAAAAGCATTACCATTGATGCAGTATACTTCCATTGATTTACATGCATGCAGACGTGTATTTTGATGGCACATAATGGCCTTTAGTGGTGCATACTATGTTGTTCATGTATATCTATTTATTATTGGTATGATGAGCGGTGCCGTTTCAGAATTAGAAATCAGATATGCATGCGTTTCACTTTCTAGCGTTATAGGGAGCACCTCAGATTTGTTAAATGGATAGAATTCTAGAGGAAGAAAGTCGGGCTAATCTTGCTGTTTAAACAATTTAAGGAATTCAAGGAATCTTTGCCTTTGTTTTTGTGTGTTTTGTTCAGGAATGAAGAATGCATGAAGTACACATTATCATTGTTCTTTGGTATGTTATGGAGGCACCATCACATTTTTTGGCAATTAAGGTTAACACCTTTTCTAGTGGTTGGTTCCTCGGTGATTTTTGTTGTTGACAGTTTGCACTTTTTGGATAATCAGGTAAACACAGTTTGTAATGATAATGGTATTAAAGATGATTGGATCTTTATGATTGTTAAATCATTTTGTTTTCTTTGTTATTGGTAATATTAGACACTCTTGCTTTGATTCAAGTTTTAAAGGTGAACGAAGTCGAGGCGACTTTGTTATTTAAATTGTTCAACAATCATTAATTTTTTTAGTATTTGTAATATTTTCAATACCAGGATCAGAAAAGAAAATGACTCACAAAATGAATTAGATAGGATAGAGAGATAAGAGAGAGAGATAAGAGAGAGAGAGAGAGAGAGAGAGAGAGAGAGAGAGATTGGGGGGGGGGGGGGTCTATGACGAATTCGTATATTGTTGTTTGTTTTAGGGATGTTCATCAAAGCAAAGCAAAATTACGAAGAGGAAAGTAAAGCAGAGGGAAGGAGTATGTGACAGGAAATATTGAAAGAAAGTGGATATGATAGAGATGGCGAGGGATATAATGTGGGAGATAGTGAGGATGGCAGTAAAAAAAAAAGAGATGGTGAAATATACAGGGAAGGGATGACTAGAGAGGTACCGAAGGATATCATAAAGGAGAATAAATTAGATAGTGTAGGCTATTATAATAGTGAGATGATGAAGGTGGGGGGGGGGGGGGTAATTAAAATGATATTGAAAAGGACGGTGACGGATATAATGAAGGGGGTAGTGAATGAGTTGATAAGGAGATAGTGACATATTTGAGAAGACAAAATGGAGGATATAGAGGAGAATATTAGAAGATTCATGAAAACGTGAAAAAGATATCTTTAACCTAGTAAAAAAAAAAAAAAAATTAAAATGCGTAATATAAACCGTCAGAAAATGGGTTTCATTGTGTTTGAAAGATAGAAATTCATGTATGTTGTATTTCATTTGTATATTACATTGTCTCATCCCTCATAACACGTCGCTTTGACCAAGCGCCTTGCGTTTCACTCTTGTAAACCCCAAAACAACTGTTGAAATCAGCTGCTCCATATACGAAGGCTAAAACAAGGATCCTAAGAAAAATAATAAAAATCAAAGATGGAATTTAAAAAAAAATGTATTGCTTAGTCACCCCCATCACCACTAAGCTTATATACTTTTGTTCTCTCTATACCTCTTCAGAGGGATTTTATTATTCCATTTCAAAATACATATAGACTATTTACAAAACAAGTAAAATGAAACATATGAATAATATACAAGATCAACATAACATTTATAATGCTTTCTTAATTATCGAAGTATCTTATATTTTCTTTGTATAAGCTTATAATTTGAAAGAAGATCAAGCATGCAAAGATTAAGTCCAAATTATGGAGAATCGCTAATAATCTAGTGATGAACATACGACATTATGACGCCCATTCAGATCAAATGACACATACACTGTTTAGCAAGCAAAAAAGGAGAAATCTTTTCTCAACAAAATGTGTATATACAACGGCAAGTATATGTTTAATAACGCGCGCCCATGCACTGGTGAAAATAAGAAATTGTCGGCTTATACGTTCCCAAACATTTCTATACAAAGGGCTATGAAAGATTTAGCTATGCCTCTGAACTTTGATATACCTGAAAGTGAAATTCATCAAATGGATATACATGTTATAAGAATATCACCGATTTTTCTTTCATGATCTCCTGCGTCACAAAATTTCTCTAAATTATATACAAAATTCCAAGGAACAGATTAGATTGTTCATTATATTCTCTTTTCGAAACCTTTTTCTTCTCGCCATCTGGTTCATCGAATTAAAGTCATCCACATCGATGATTGTTTAAACAATTTCCAAGACGTGCATAACATTTGTTCATAGGTTCTTCTCTTCATTATCTGTTCTCCTCGGTTTCCTCGCGATCAACTAATACTATTGTTGCCATATCTTTACTCGCACTGAAAATTACGTTGTTGCTGCCTTGCTGGAACAAATTCTGTCATGTTGCCGCCTTCATTCACAATATCACACACGTTGAAGACTGTTGGTTTGAGATTTCATCCTTTTTCTTTCCATTATGGATCAATCTGCTATCATGATGATCATCCGTACTCATGCTCGATACAGTATTGTTCTCCTGGTCATCGTCGACGTCGTCGGCTGTCTCCTTGTAGATGTGTCCACGTCCGTTGTCATTGACGCTGCCGACGCTGACGCTGTCCCAAGCCTTGATCTCTTCGACCTCCTCCTCGTTGACGCTGGCGATGAAGATACGAGGCACCTTCTTCCGATATCGCGGAAGAACCTCTAATTTAGCCTGTAAAGAACAGAAGAAACAAAGATAATAATCACAGTATATAGATGACGAATTTTTGCACTTCTTAAATCTATACATCATACAATACGGTAAGCCTTTGGTATAGGGGTATGGTCTGTGGGCCTTGAAATCTTTAATTCATATTTCACTTACTTCATTATAATTTACGATGATGAAAATTCGTTGGTTAAAAAACCCACTGAAAATGAACCCTCTATATTACGATGTGAATATATTTACATTGTATTTTCCATTTTTTTAGTTAATCACAAATAACTTTCCAATAATTAACATGAAATAAAGACTTACCTTTGGAATGTCATTTGATGGCATTATTCTGGGTTCTCCGGTCTAAAATATATAAAGATAATAAGGGACTTTAGTAACTTCAGGAAATGAAATACCGTTTTGTATATGTGATATTAGAATAAATTTTAATGAACAAACAAAAGTCGTGACTTTCCTCAAAATAATGATTGAATGGCCTAACATATGTACTGGTATTACAGTTGATTCGATGTAAAACAACGACACAAGCATTAGAGGATAATCGTACACTTTTAAAAATCAAAGGGCGTTTTCTATTATTTCTAACAATGGATGCTCCTTGAGAAACGTATATAAACTCCTTCAGTTCGTCAATAAACAACAACAAAAAATAAACTTGTTATAAGCATGATAATAACATGAATGAAATAAATAAATAAGGTAAAATAAATGAAATAAAATAAATATATAAAACAAATGAATAATAAATTAAATGAAATAAATATAATAAATAAAATAAATATAATACATTAAAAAATGAAAACATTAGCAACCTAACAAAAAAATAGAATAATTTACCACTTTGCCGAGTGCCTCAGCTAAGAGATGAATGAAGGCATTTAATTCTTTGGATGGAAATTTTGCTTTGACGCGTTCTGCTGCTGATAGTGCTGTTAGATCAACCACGTTATCCTCGCTCTTGTCATAATTCTGAAATTGAAATATATCAAAGTTTTGTGTTGAAACAAAATAGTCCAGATATATCCCGAATACTACATTAAAACAGCCCTTGTCATCACTCATTATAATGGTCCAAAGGATAGATGTTGTCAAAAGCAAAGTAAAAGCACCAGTCCGCCTTCAAACGTGGGGGTTGGTAAAAGCGGTAATCGTGATCACACTCAGATATTTTCGAGATCAGTTATTCGAAAAAATATACGAAACGGCATCATTACAAAACGCAATAAGTGATGTTGATCTATTTTCAGAATGGGGGAGAAGGGCCCGGGGGCCGGGGGGGGGGCAAAAGTCTTATCATCATGTATAATTCTGAAATTATTCGGGAGCAACTGTTCTGCTCCTGGAATCAAACACCAGTATGGAGACAATTTTGGTCAATCTATTAATAGTCAACGTTCTCGTTATTGAAGGATTACCAGATAAACTGTTTCACATTCGGCACCCTTGTTGAGTAAGAAAGCGGCAACGGAATATCGTCTTCTGATGATGGATAGGATCAAGATTGACATGGCATACCCCGTTTCTCCATCCTAGAAGTATACAAGATACAAATGTTATGAATAGAGAGAAAAATTAGAAGTCCTCTTGGAGATATACAGTTGACAAGTAAATTATTCATATCCTTACCAATTTTTGTATTTTTAAGTATGTGAATAATTAATTTGTCCCGATTTACGTTTCTTGAGAATGTTATATATCAAAGCTTACATCTAAACAGATTCAACAAAGGCCTTAATTCAATCAGTCCACCTTCTTCTTAAGTTACAAAAACAAATGTCAAATTGATAAGGGATATGAAAATTAAATGTTAACAGTTGGTCTTGAACATTGTACGTACATACTGCAAACATTTGCCGAATGCAGTGAGAGAAGATCGCATAGACACATTCGTTTAAATATCATCAACTCCTTAATTTAAAAGTGTAATAGAAATATAAGATATTGTAAAAGAAATATAAGACTTTTCATTTGGAATTAAAATGCCGCTATGTTCTTGATAAAAAATCGATTGGAAATTATATCAAAATCATGCAAACCAGTTTGAACAATTCTTTCTATGACGAAAGCAAAACACGTAACCAATTATGACTTATATCATAATGTAAACACTAAACATTCATTGGGTATTTTTTTTCTTTAAAATGTTACATCGACTCGTATAATTGACATCATGACTTACAATATGAACGAGGTTCACATCCATTCCGTGTGAGAGTAGGATTGTGACTGAGTCAAGATCACCTTCTCGTACAGAGTCTACCAGAACCTGAAAAGAAATTACACAAGTTGAAGAATAGATTACAACCTCATTTAAACTGTTCTCTATAAATGTTTTTATACTACTCTTCTGCTTCATTTCCTTATCTGATTCTCCCTACCGTCATAATATTATCTGTCACACTTCCCCTCATCTTTTGATAATACTTCTAACTCGAATCCGTTTTTAATTTACGAATATTCCGGCATATCTATTAATCACCGAAATGTCTTTTAGATCACTTCGTTAAATTCGAGATAACTATGTGAAGAACTGATCTGTAGAAGAAATATTGTTTAACAAAAATACAGTCATTACTCAGTTCCATATCCGCCGGTTATAATCACATGATAAAGATGCGATGCTCATAGCAAGGACGTGGTTTCTTCCTGTTATCATTTGTATTTGATAACAGACGATTGGGTATCAGATGTGATCTACTTTCGATCAATAACAATTTTTTTTCCTTCTTTACCTCATTAGGAACATCCTTTGGTAGATCAACTGGGGGTACTTTACGTGGTTCCCTGCCCTAAAAAGGATAGACAAAATATGTTAGATTTGTATTAGTATAAGTAAATAATGGTAGTGTTCAAAGATTCTTCTGATACGAATGAATATGAAAAGAATGATGAGCTCATAATTATGATTCTTGTCAGTTTAATTGTTATTCGCTGTCTCTTCAACGTATATAAGTGTGATTTCATAGCCATTTACATGATTATTACAAACTTTTGGCACATAGGGAGTCTTATAAAATATTAACAATCTCAAAATTGAAAAGCTGTTGATCTTGTGATGTTCCTTTCTTCTTCTTTTTTCTTCTCCCTTTCTTGTAAGAAGATTTTGATAATAAATATCATAACGCCAAATAAGAGATATAAATATCGTTAAAATTTATACTGAAATTAAACAATCTCACTTTTTACGAGTCAATTTCTACATTATACCAAATTATACTCTTCATTTAATTCAACTCGGATTACATTGCCCATATTTATTTCAAACTAAACATCTTCTTGAAAATGTCAAGATTAGTTACCATGATATTTGAATCCTACCTGTGTTTTCTGTAAGCCCTCTTCCAGTGTGCTAAGCATTGCTCCCAGTGTGTTACTTAACGTAAACTCATACAGCATCCGGGTTGTCGCTAGAGCAGACAACTCATACATACACTTATTGGCACTGTCATAATTCTGGAGAAATGATAAGAACATTATGTAAATAAGAATTCGATTTGTGTGTGTGTCCGTTAAGAAACGAAGGACTGTCATTATATATATTATTATCCTTAAAAATCTGATTACTATTTTTGAAATCGTGTAATTGGAATGTAGGCCTGCAATTTGTTAGTTAACTGTGGCAACTTACGATGGAATATGAAAAAGAGTCATAGAAATTATCGCAAATATTGTGCCCTTTCCTCCGTTTCTATATTCAATATTGTTATTGCATTGTTTCTGTCGCTGTTGATTAAGAAATTAATGCCAAAATACACCATTTATCAAGCCCGTTGTACACGAGGTATCGTAATAATTGACGTAGAACAATGAGTGATAATAAGGTGAATATTGCTAGCAATCCTTCTGATAGTTTGTGTACGAACTAATTCGATTCAATTCAACTCGATTCGAATAACTTTATTTCCATAACTCAGTCAAAATATGAACAAGTGCTTAACATAAAATGAATATCAAATGACATATGAAATATGACATAGAAAATGAAACTTATTTGTCTTTTACAATCTTATTGTCAATAATTGATTTCCTTCATAGACTCGATTGGCGCAGGAAATAGTGCAATCGAAATGGTATTTCAAGCTCACCAGGAAGATAGTATCGACGGCAGCACCAGCTTTAATAAGTAGATCAGCGACCTCGATCTGATTTAGAGAGATAGCCAAGATGAGCGCCGAGTGCTGGCTTTTTACTCCATTGTCAGTTTGCTGTTGGCGGAAAAAATAAAAAATGTCTACATCTAATAAACAAAAGAGCCTTCAAAATGAAGCTGACTTCTTCAAGTGAAATTTATAAACCCCCGTGCAACTTGAATTCATCAATTAATTTCAATTGGCAATGACCAATAGCGAATTATGAACTCTCAAAACAAAGATTTAATTTCAACTTTGGAGGGAAAAGAGTGATAATAATTTTCTTGTCAAGATTGTACTTTATGCCTTTGATAGAGACATCGGTAGCCCCAGGTTTACTCAGCTGTCAAATTTGAATCAGACTTTGTTTAATAAGGCTTAATGAGGACACACATTGCCTTTCTTTAACCTAAGGGTGCGTTTATGCTTTTATAGGCCAGAATAAGGCTTTTGTTACGCGTTTAGTTCAAAACACGGTTGCATCGTTTCTCATTTTCGTATAAACGCCGATCGTAAACTCACAAAAAGGTAATTACCTTTAAAAAATCTTTAATTTGTTATACAAAATTCTTACCGTTTCGATCATGTTTGGGTCAAGTCCCGCTTTGAGCATCCTTTCCAATGCGATGGCATCTCCTCCGTCGATTGCCTGCTTCACCGTCTGTAATTCCATCCAAAATAAGAGAGATAAACAAATTACATCAATGCTTATAGAAATGTAAACTGTTTCATTGAATATATTTTGAATTAATGAATAAATACATTTGAAATGAATAATGGGTAAGATTTGCCCATAGATTTCTGCATAGTGGTCTTTAATTTCATTGCACGGTGAAAATAGAAACTGACTTAATGACATCTAGGAATAAAATGGATTGATTACATACAATCAGAAATCAAAAGGCATTTATCGTGAAATGGATAAACATGGGGAGATCCAGTCCAGGCGGGGTAAAGGGCCACCTTCCACCAGGCCGATTTGACAGCGGGACTGTCGTCTGTCGGGGTGTCGGAAAGATTTTGGCAGGAAATTGAAAGCCAATGAATATCAATAACAAGAATCAAAACATGAAAGAAAGGTAAAGGAGGGGGAATATTCAACGTAATCATGATTTTTGTTCAATACCAACGAATTATTTAAAACAGCATATGAAAATATTTCAGAATTGAGTAAAAATAAAGACAATGAAAGTTAAAGGGTAATCTAGATCATCGTTATTTTTCATTTCCCATTTTTGTTTTCACTTCTCAGCTGCAGCTGAGAGTAATTACCTGTATTATGCTATAGAAAAACAAAATAAAATATTTACGATGAAGCATTTTTTTTTTTACCTGAACTACTGAGATTATGATTGAACTACAAAACGGATTACAAGATTTTAGCTTGTATTAGTGAAATGGAGAAAATTACAATGCAAAAATGAATTTAGAAAATATACATACCGGTGTGATTTGAGGGAATGTGGAACTCGTCATTATTCACTGTTATCTGTTCGTTCTCCCTTTTAATGTAAATAGCTTGGTGTTTTAGATGCACAAGCCGCCATTGTAATGTCACTTTGTTTAGTCAAGAATGATTTGAATGGTTCATGGCATAGAACCCCCTGCCAACATTCTGCTTGCTAGAAACACTGAATCTGTCAAAAAAGAAGAAAGAAATATTACAACGGTAGAAAGCATTCTACTGCGTCATTATTATTTACACTCGCACGCACGCACACGCCCACACACTCTCACCCACGCTATATACATTACTAGGTCTAAAATCTCCTGTCCTGTGAAAAAGTAAAACACAATTTTTTCCTCATTAATTCCAAAAACACAGAATTTGGCCCAAAATTCTCAGGAACTGATCTATTTATATGCGTGTCTCGGATCTATTTTGCTCCAGCCAAATCCATATTGTAACAAACAGTTAACAGTTATGCAGAAAACCACGCACTTCTTAGTTCCGGCGTTGTTGTGTTCCATTGAGCTTTCGATGGAAATAGGATTTAAGGATGAGCTTAAGGGTTGCAGATACAAAGCATATTTTAGCCTAGAGCCACCATACCCACAATTTCTATTCTTTTGTGAGTAGTTACTGCCAAACAGTCTTGTGTATATTTATATATACGGCTTCTCAAATCTCGTGTCAATCTCTACGGGGGTTAAGATACAAGATGAAACGAATTGCAGCTTTGAGTATAATTATCTTTGGAGGTTAACATTATTATATCTATCAAGGATGCAACTTATATCATAATGCTCTGAGAAGGAGAAGAATATACTGACTTTCCAATTAACTACAAGGTTTGCGAGGACGTGACAAAACTGACAAACCTTTTTTTTTATCCACAATATTTTTCAAAAATCGACTTACTTCATAATGCTCGGAGCACATGGCAATGATGATGGTGAAATTACCAAACAAAATGTTTAATTCTGTAGATATAATGACTATAGGCTGTATCTAACGTGCTGAATGACCTACATACGCTGTTTATTGATTCGACAATATTAGCTTGTCTTAGGCGGACAGAAAGACAATACTCACATTGTATCCGAGGACGTGATACAACCATGTGATGAACATGATTTACGCAACAGATCAATAACTCATTCAGTGTGTACTTGAGTTTGACAGATGGTATTGACACAGCAGCTCACTTCGTCTACATGTACTATACGGGTGATTTGATATCACATGGTAAACACTATCAGATGTATAAAGTTAATTATTTCATAGTTTAGCATAGTCGTAGTTCCTTGCTGCTATAGCCATGTTTGCAACTTATGTAATTAGATGGACGCATGGATATGATATCTGAGGCGAATAGTTTTCAGTACGTTAAATTGATAAACTGTTGTGTAATGTATCGGGCTACTACAACTGTCATTTTGGTAGATCGCCATTGATGATGACAATAATATTGCAATGCGTAACTTCTAAAATGCACATTACTTTTCATGTGAATTAGCTTAAAATGCATATATACCCTATTCATTATTATTAATGTTTGTTTATTACATCATTTGTGTTAGTAATAATTTACCAACTAATTTCAATTTCAAAGGTGCCAGTCGCAAAACTTTCCACTACATCGTCCATTTGCTCTTTTTACTTCAGCTACATAACTAAGCCATCAGGCATCAACATCAGGAAAAGATAATTATATCAACATAACTATTAATCTCGGGAAGCAAAGTGAACCATTCTTTTGCTGTTGACCAGCGTGCCAGTCATATTCAAAGATCTGAATATGTTAGTATCTTCAAATTGTCCCTATTTTCATCAAGACTTTCTGGCTTACCTTAATGTAAAGGTGTGTGAAATAATCCTTGTTATGATTTCCTTTGCAGAAAGTTATCATAAACTAACACGCCGTGCCTGAATTAGATAAAACACGACTGTCGAAACTGAACAACCTGTCGTATGTAGGGAGAGCATCGGCGTTTCTATGGTCGCTAAATCCGTATGGCCTTTGAAGTCCTTAATACTTTCTCCTAGAGTTTCTCACTTGTATGAACAATTGATGACTTATCTCTTTGTAGGAAGAAGGTAGATCTATTCTTTGCAATCCCCTTAGGAGGTAACAAAAATCGATGGGTTTGGGGCGGATGAGTGGCACAGCGGCTACTTAAACGGGGATTATTCAGAAGGCCTTTGGCATCATCGCCATCGTCTTGATCATCATTACCAAACTTTGCAAACATCATTATCTTTAGAGAAATCTGCTTTGTCTTGTTGTAAGGGTCATTAGCACAAGCTGCATTATCTCTTTTGTCATCTAAACAGAAATTATCAATACCATGGTAATGGTAATTTTTGTTATCATTAGCAGAATGGATACAAATCGCCGAAATCGTCACAAATATCAATGAATATCGATCATGAACATGATTAACGTAAAATTGGTTATTATATAATTGGAATTAATGTAATTATCACTATCGCAGTCATCTTTATCCTCATCAGTATCATCATTATCAGCAGCATCATACGCATCACCATCATCATCTTCATCATCTTCATCATCATCATTATCATCACCATTATCATCATCCTCGTCGTCATCACCAATCACGATCATTAATGTGGTGCATGCAGTCATGCGATGGAGCTAGCGGGGTCATCCACCACTCCCTCCCTCTCCTCCCCTTCTCTCTCTCTTTCATTGTATATCTCTCTCACCAGCATTATCAGCAGCATCATACGCATCACCATCATCATCTTCATCATCATCTTCATCACCATCACCGTTATCATCACCATCACGATCTTTAATGTGGTGCAGTCATGCGATGGAGCTAGCGGGGTCATCCCCCCCCCCCCCCCCATCTCTCACTCTCTCTCTCTCTCACTCTCTCTCTCTCTCTCTCTCTCTCTCTCTCTCTCTCTCTCATTGTATCTTTCATCATAGCTCCTTCTGTTATGGTCATGCACACCACAGCATCTTTTCTCTTAATTTCTATTTGTTATCGACTTTATATTTCCCAGGCTCCTTTTCAGAGGGCAGAGAATACAGACCTTTAATTGAATTTTTGATACCCCTTTTCTTGTTCGTTTCTTAATTATTCTCTTCTAATATATCTTTCATCATGTGGTAATTTTGATTTTCTGTCCTCTTGTGCAAACGAAACCCTTCATCGGCAAACATTAAATCGCTGATTGAGAAGTGAGACCATTGGCACGTGTATTACTACAAGAAGCTCCGACGCCGATGCCGAAGGCGTCGACGTCGGAGCTTCCTGGAGTTAGTTTGAGACAAGATTTATGTCTTTATTATTGACAGAGCTGTTTTATAAACGCTCTAAAGAAGTCTTTCATATCGTGCATTTTTAATTATTTACTCCATTTCCATCCCCTTTGGATCCATATTGATATAAACATGCATTAGCACAATCATGAAAATTATAGGTTTTTAGGTTTTAAGTCCGTTTTCAAGCAAATCAACGTCGATATAAAACAATTCAATATTTCTTTTGATATGATTTTACTGATGTATATATTTCCGATCCCATGATATGCCTCTGTAATGCTGCTACTTCTCAATCTGATTATCATCACGATAATTCTTAAATAGACCTGTTTTCACTCTACTCCTTGATCTGATTATGCAATGATACATCTTATATAATCACAGGCCTGTCCTCAGTCAGCTCCTATTGCTTTCTTTCCTCCGTTCACCGATGGAATTGCATGCATTTTCTTTATCATTCCAGTTTCCGCTTCTTTCTGGTTGCCATGGTACAAAAAAAAAAAAATCAGTAACAATCAATGAAGATGACAGCTCTTGACAAATATCTAACGACGCCTTCCTTCTCATACCTGACTTTCGGGGACAATAATGAACAAATTGCTTTGGAGGACCCGTGAGGAATTAAAATTGATTTGTCTTGTTTTGGGTTCGTCACAAGTCGCACGACTTTCTACTTCTTAGATAGGAAAGGCTGTTACTACTTTGCACTTTCAAGAAGTTACTAGATATTTAAAGCAATAGATTACAAAATTAAAACAAAAAAATAGAAGAAAACAAATAATAATTTAGTGTTGGGATAATTTAATGAATCGGAGGCTCATAATTCACGATAGTCGAGTTCGAGGAAACAGAACCATCCTATTTTCAAGAGATGAATTTCGTATGGCGTAGCAACGGGGAGGGGGGCACTCCGCCGTCAAAAAATAATCAAGGGGAAACGTAACTATATGTAAAAGGGGAAATGGAGGAGGCATGCATGGATGGAAGGAAGGGAAGAGGGAGGGTGACAGAGGAAGGGAAGGAGAGATGGAAAGGAGAGAGATGGAAGAGAGAGAGAGAGGGGTGGGGAGAGGGGAAGGGGGAGGAGGTAGTGGAGGAAGGTGGGGGTATTAACACGATGGGGGTGAAGTCAATAACATCACAAGGCCACCTCATGCAGAGCGCTCTTTGTCGCGTGGTGGTGAGAACATAAAGGAATATCTTCGGGGAGGGTCTCTCAAAAAGTTATGACAAAACGACTAGTTATCAATTATTCATCAGGATCGACAGGGAGGAGAAAACTGTTGAAGGAAGAATTATTTCTTTATTTTAGGTGTGGTTAATGGAGTAGAAAGTATTTAAGCGATTATAAGGGAGCCCGGTGTGCATTTAGCCATGCAGGAGGTGGACAACGTACATTGCCCTACTTTAAATGCCTGCGCTTTAGCTAGCCGAGACCAATATATCAAGAATCGCTTATTTTCGATAAAATCATAGCGAATATGGTTATCAACTAACCTCTGTTTTTCATTGTACCAATTCTATATGTATTACTATGGCTACTTACTCCTTTAAAAAAGGACTTTCATTTAGAAAAAACGCGCTATGGCAAATTATGTATTTCATAATTATAAAGAAAAAATCTCAAAATTACTTACACACCAAAAGAACACCCACCCAAATACCCAACTTTGAGTACGATTTATCTTATGTCTCTAACGTTACCGTATAGCTACTGTTTGTATCATCCTTTCCAAAAACCGTTCGACATTTTCTCCATCATAATATCATGGAGATATAAGATCGATCTTATATCTCCATGATAATATACGCTTTAAAAGGCCCATTACATTTGTTTTACTGTAACAAACCGCATTTTCAACAAGGAAACTTACATACAAAAGTAACAGTTCGTCTTTGTATCGTAAATTGAAGTTTTATTACATATTCTTATGGCAGATTTCATCCACATGACATCCATTACAATAGAGTTACTGTTACATACAGTTTAACAACCAAATTATTCATACTCTTGCCAAACTTTGATTTGATCTGAGCATGTGACATATTGAAGCTTACATCTAAAAGTATTCAACAAAGGTCCTGTAATTAAACCAGTCCATCTTTTATCCTTGAGTTGCGGAAAAACACAAAAAACATCAAATTTACAAACTAGGAAATTAACAATTTAGTTGTTTACTGTAGGTGCATTGCATAATGTACTGTTTCAAAGACCCATGGCATTCTATCCTTCGTATGAAATAATCATGGTATCACATTAAAAATTGCATAGCCTATAAGCTACGGACCAATAAGAAAGACTTAGTTGACATCACGAGATGGAATGGGAGAGGGCACTTTGGTCAACTTATAGCTTGAAAATACATCATTAATAATAGTACTGTACACATTTAAATACCCGATATAGAATTATTCTTCTTTCATAGTCGATCTATGATGAGTTTTTGTTGAGCTAAAAATTCAGTACATATTGTTTTTCTTCTGACTCTCTTCACGATTTAATTCAAGATTTACTTATTACATGAACCGATACATCCACATCTAACAACGTCATACCAACTATGCATAAAACAAAAGAATTCAAATGTATAAGATGAGTAAATAGCTCCCGAAAACATTTCATGTAACGTAGAATCAAATCAGTTAGGAATTCACTTCATTATTCAAGACTGCCACTGACAATGTTGACACGACATAATAATACTTCACGAAACTTGTCTACAATTATCACAAATACATACACCAAGACATAATGGAATCATCCCACAAGAAGTTATCACCTAATACACATAAACAAATGACATAGTAGTCATATAACTAACACACACAAACACAAATAGAAAATTGTATGGAGTACAAGTAAAAAAAAGAATACAATAAACACATAAAGCAACATCATACATTATATACACACCTGCCGAGTGTCTTTAAAATCATAACATACTTTTCACAAATTCAACAAAGCGAAAGATTGTAAACACATGATTTATTTTATACCATTAATTCAATTTTAGTTTAGTAATTTAAGTTATATTATATGATATTACAGTTTGATGCTATGTTTCCTGTTCACATAGTAATAAATATATTGTTTCATTGTAATTGCATTAAATTCGTATTGGTAGGTTAGTATACTCTATTTTTGAATCACTTTCAGTTTAGGGATGCAATTTAAGTTGTATCATATGATAGATGAGTTTGATCCTATGTTTCCTGTTCACATAGTTATACATATATTGTTTCATTGTAATTTCATTAAATTTGCCTTGGTACGTACTCTATTTTCCTGCATAGTCTATTAGCTACAGGCCAATAAGAAAGACTGAGTTGACATGACCTGCAGAAAAGTTCATTTTCAATGATATTAATACAGCTGACGACACTAGACTATTGTTTCCATGTCCATTTTAACACATTTTTTCATTCAATGCCGTTACCAAACTTTCTAATTTTGCACATCTCAGTTAATTTCATCTTTGAAAATTGTTTTTTTCTTCTTCTCACCTTGTCCAATCAATTTATTCATTTTGCAAACAATTTCGTCAGAATCAATTTCATCAGTTTCCAATCGATTCGTCAAAGCGTCATTCAAATTCGTAACTCCTTCGTTTTAAGGTCTTGTGTATGCACCAAATTTGAATGAAACTCTCTCGAAATTGATTACACATAGACGAATTTGAAAGAAAAATGACTAGATTAACTTATGACATTTGCACAACCCCAGATTTCTAGGGCGAAACTGAAATACACAAAGATGAATTTGAATGAGAAAAAAATATGTTAAAATGGACAGGAAATCATAAAATATCATATGTATGTAGCTGATAACGCTGTAGTAAGTACTGAAAGACAACATTTTCATAGAGGCCAATAGATGGATTTGAGTGAAAGACAAAAACTAAAAGATTATACCACACACATGATGATATTCCCTGAAAAAAAGATAAAAGAATAATGCTGATCCCAAACAATGCATATAGTGTACAGAATGACACCTGAGAGAAATGAGTACTACGTTAAAAGTGAAGTCTGATTAAGCAAGACTCCAGTCACTATACCACATACATAATCTTAGAAGTCTTGGAGAAAGCACCATGGATTAAATATCTGAAAAGAATATGAAATAAGACATATATATATATAAACATTACCTAGAATCTATTCCTGTGGTAGTGCGAGTACAAACATTTACCAAAAAATAGAGAACAAATATATGGAATTCATTCTCCTAGCCTAGAGATGAAAGCAGTGTATGAGCTTGTACAATATAGGGTATGTGGGAGGAGGGATAGTGGTGGTGGTGGTGGTGGTGGTGGTGGTGGTGGTGGTGGTGGGGGGGGGGGGGGGGGTCTCCATAGTACAAAGGTCTTTAAATACGTAATTACCCACTTTCATGCAAGCTTGCACTTTTCCAAATTAATCTAGTTCTGATCACATTCTGATATATTAAATGGGGGAATGGTTCTTGTAGGTGGAATATGACAGGACCTTCATATTATGTTCTAATTTACCTACAAACATTGACATAATGACATGATGCCACAAATAAACATTGTATCCCAATCACCCATCTGTGATATGAAGGGGGGGGGGGTGGTAGTCCAGACGCTTGAACATTTGACTTGGGATAAGAAGTGTAAGGTTTTTAAGTGCATAGAAATATGAAATAATCCTGTCAGATATTTGCTTAACACAAAAAAAATACTCTTCCTATATATTGCATACTGGTTTTGAAAGAAACTGGGCCAGTATTGTTTTTAGAATAGTGTGAGCATACAAAACCTATAGAATCACAAACTCAAGATCTGTATCTCCACGTCACCAATGACTGATCAGTTTATCCCCCTATTGTACTGCCTATTGTACTACCTACTGATGCATAACTATAAAACGTCTTGGTAATTAAAATAAAATTACACAGATGTACAGACAGCTTATGAAAACTAATGCCTCTCGCATCACCACCAGAACATATATGACAATTAAGTACAGTACATCAAAAGCAACTTTAACAGACTTCTTCTTATGACAGCATTGCCAGGCATCAATATGCTCTCACAATGTTTCCAAACATGGGGCTTGAGACAAATCCCTCTCCCACTAAAAATATAACAATGGGTATTTAATCCACTGTGTAATAGCCTCTTTCACTGTGTAATAGCCTGTTTCACATGCAAGCCTCAGAGCCATTGGTCAAGATAAGATTCCATTTGAAATCATATAAACACAGTTCTTCATATAATTTTTAAATAAAAGTTTTGACTTGTAACAACTTTAAATTCTATGACAGCTATAATTGCAGTTGTTGTAGCATAATTAAAATATACATGTACCAGTAAACAATTGTATTGCAACATAACTATTTTCACAAAATACATATTTCTTGTACTTATAAAAGTTATTAGTGCTATAGACATGAATTGCAGTTTTATTTCAGACCAAATTTTCAGCTTTGCTAAAAATAGGATAAACAAGGTGTATAACTGTACCTGTTGAAAAAATATAAACCCTCTTGAGAAATTATAAAACCTGAGAAAAAATATATTACTGTTGAACCTTCTTCTTGTATGCACTTATTAACTTTTGTCTTACAGTTTTTAATAACATAGCAATCTGAAATACTTGCATAGAACCATTATTCTTAACAATATGAATAATTACAATATAGCACCCTGTCTCTATACGCTACATAAATCCTTCAAATGTTATATTGACAAGGCTACTGCATTAATCGAAAGTTATCTACATGATGTTATGCTGGTCAGAAACAACTCCATTATTGGAATTCTAAATGTATACCAGTACTGCATTTAATTACTGATATTATTAACATCAACTGTAAACTCTTATTTTACTACTAACCGGACTTTCTTCTTCTTTCTTTCTTTTTATTTTATCACTATTGTCCTTTGTTTTCTCCTCCTTATTTTCTTCTTTCTAATCGTCTTTTTATTCCCTTTACAATATCAATTGAATTACTGAATGTATTCATTTCATTTTTGCCTATTTTACATTATACTATTCACATGTCTTTCATATGTTGCAGTTTTATTTGTAAACTCAAGATGTGTCAGTTTTTAGCTGTGAATTTGATTCTTCATCAATAAACCTCATCAAATCAAATCAAATCAAATCAAATTATCAAATGTTAATGCATATTTTGCACTTCTACAAGACATTTACTATAAAATTACACACAAGAAATAAAAAAAAATGAAAATATGGAGCTGATTTCTTTGTATCAGCTACGTTGTAGAAATAATAAGCTTATGGCAGTCATTGCCTGGACCATGATGAATCCCCTTGTCATATTGTGATGAGCTCCCTGTCCTGCAGAACTGAGAAAGAAAAGATATAACATATATTTACTAAACCCTCCAGGGCAATTCTCCAATCACTTGGTCTAAGATTCAATTCCTTTATGGGCATTGGATACTTTCTTCACCACCTAAACATCAAGACTGCCATCTAGTGTCAAAGCATTGAAAAGTAAAGTACAGTGAAACCTGTCTATAAAACCCACCTAAGGGAGACAAGAAAAGTGGTCTTATAGATAGGTGGTCTTTGTAGACAGGTGCCTATAGTACATGTTTCAATGAGAAACCATTTTCAAGGGAAACAAAAATGTGGTCTCTGTAGACAGGTGGTCCTTGTAGACAGGTGGTGACTAAAGCAGGTTTGACTGTACATATTATTTTGTTTATACTCTGATCGTGCATGATAGTAAGTTTTAATATGTTCTTTGTTTTTTGTTCTGTTCTTTTGTTCTTGTTTTCCTGTATGTGTGTTTTAGCGGTAGGCTTTTATATAAGGAACTTCCCTCCTTTCTGCCTATCCCAAATGCTCTTATAAATTGCCATTGTATTTGTTATCACTTTCTTGTGTTTTTTTTAATTTATAACTCCATTCTGTATTTGTATGTTTTTAATGTTTTTATGAAGAGTGTTGAATAAACTTTGAATTGAATTGAATTTGAATTGAACATGTAATTTAGAGGTTAACTTATTAACAATTATGATGATCAATGATTTCTGCAGATTTGTAAAAAATAATCATGAAATATCGTTTTGGGTAAATTATTAAAACTGTTGATTTTTTTGCTTTCTTTCTTCTCCATAATTGCAGACGCATACCAATTATGCAGTCTAACAAAATACATGCAATGTTATAGATGGAATGTATTTGCTCATAATGTTCATCAAAGTTACATATCAACCAGCAAAGCACCATGCCATTCTATTTTTGTATACAGGTATAAATTTATTCAATAATTTACTTTCATTAATATAATGAATTAACAGTGCTTGCATCTGCCCAGTATTTTTTGCATCGACCATGTTTAGAACATACTCAGGCACAGTTAACAGCAGGTGAACATTTAATGACAAATGTTAGAAACTAATTATGAAAATGATAAATGAATGGGAGCTATATGGCAATACGATACAAACAAAAAGTTAGTTTTTAGTTACATACGCTCGATACAAAATGGGTTACCGTCAGTTGATACAAGAGCAATTCCAAGCTATTTTGTCCTATACGTTACTAACCGAATCTATGATTTTAGTACAGTATATCTTAGGGCTGTACTAAGCTGACAGCTCTACAAGAGCTGGGAGCAGACTGCATATGTAATAGCATGATACATTTTATGTCAATTTGTGTCTGTAACTCTGCTAACAATTTGTAACGTATGGGACAGCAAACGACCATTACCACGGACCTGCCAATGAATTGAAACGCGATGCATGAATAATCATCGGCAGTGAGAAGGTGCGCCCCCCCCTGCCCCCGCCAACAAACACACATAAAAGGCATAAATGGAAGAGAAGAGAGAGATGGACAGAACGTCCACAAACACATGAAGCAAGTACGTACATGTAGGCAATAAATCACATTATAAGCACAAATGTAGAACACAGTATTAGTAGTAAGAATATGCACCACTCTGAATTTATCAAAAAATTACATTCATTGCTAACATCAAGACAAGTCAAATATATCACAAACAATGCAACATGAAAATAAGAGGAAAGAAGGAAAAGTGCTGCTTAAGACCCTCAAGTAAACATAAATTTCAGCTGAATAGATGCAGATAAAAAAGATTTTGAAGATGGTATGACACAAAATTAAAGAATCTAGTGTTTTTCAGCTCTAACTTCAGAAAGACGATGCAGTGCGCTGTGCATCAACCAGAAAAACTTATTCACAGTGCAAATTTGAAACAGCATCTACTGCAAGTAATATACAATATTCCAAATAAATGTGCAGATAATTTTTCACCATTTTTGCATTGACCAATTGTAATCAATATTTGGGTGTTATACCACCTAATTAATTGGTCTTCAGCTCAACTTGGAGTAGATCAAACAATCTCCTACAGTAAAGAAAAAACGAACAAAGTATGCAATTTCAATAACGAAAGCACAAAACAGGTAAAAGGAGTGATAATGCACAAGGATGACTAAGGTTCGTACACAAAAGCAAGCAAGCAGGCTCTCCCACTGCTATCTACTACACAGTTTACTTACTCTCCATCTTCCCAAAAAAATGATGTCTTTTATAACTCGTTTTTCCTTCGTAAGCATTAAACAAAAATAAGCGGAAAAAACATTTGTAAAAATACACTACAGCAAGAATGATGGAAAGTTAGATCAACAAGATGGCATCTATCTATCATTGCCTGTCTGCAAGAAGGGCACTACTGCCATGCATAGCTCTTACAGCCCTCTTGCAGGCTATTGATGATATAGCTTTGCTAAATTGCATTAAAATACTTAAAGGTAATACAAAGTTTTGGGAAATTTTGAAAATTGTGTGGATAGTGATTCTTTGCAATTTTGATACATTTGGATGCCCCTGTGGATGTATTACAAGTACTAGAAAATTTAGCCTCTAAAACACTTCTGCTTTTGAGAAAAATGGAATATAACAATTTACTGGTGCTCCCGGTAAATTTTGATAACTTCCAAATAGCGCCTATGGCCGTACAATGGTAGCTGCGACCATGAAAATCTCAGAATATGTAGTTGTGATATATAATTTCCAAACGGGAATAGCTAATCGGTCGATTTTAGTCAAGAAACATTGTTTTATAGCTTAACTAATATGTTGACCTTGAGAGGGAGCTATACAACACAAAGAGTTTATTATTTACAATTTCATAACTTAAGACTCGATTTCAACTGCGACAACGATCACTGAATATTGTAGGTTCGCATATGCTTCCAATATGTTCAATTGAACTAAATTCATGGCCCCATACCAAAACATTGTATTACCTTTAATCTTGACATGTCATGGCTACCTTCTTGAGCAAGGTGTCAATACAATTTCCATTAAATATTCTTAAGTTGTACGGACTTTCAAATGAAAAATCATTCAATTAAAATGAAAATAAGCTACACAACTTTGTGATATAATTATGAACTATCAACTGTAAGATCCAATTTGTTCATGATTATTTTAAGCTCATTGTAGAGAGAATGCCAGAAGAGATGGGGGAAGAAAGAAAAAGTGAGAGAAAGAGAGAAAGAGAGAAAGAGAGAAAAGAGAGAAAGAGAGAAAGAGAGAAAGAGAGAAAGAGAGAAAGAGAGAAAGAGAGAAAGAGAAAGAGATAGCAAAAGAAAGGGAGCAAAAGAGAAAGAGAGAGAAAGAGATAACAATAGAAAGGGAGCAAAGGAGAAAAGAGAGAGAAAGAGAGAGAGAGAGAGAGAGAGAGAGAGAGAAGGACAGACAGACAGACAGACAGAGAGTGAGTGAGAAATGTACAATAGCCAATATCACAAATTCACCATGCTTTTTATGGTTTTAATATTAATCCAACTTAAAACTTATCATTGCTTCCAATAGCTGGCCAGACAATTTATTGGGCCAAGTCTTCAATAAAATAGGGTTGCCAAGCAATGCCATAAAGTTAATGGCTCATTCAACTAACAACTCTTGATCCTCCATTATCTTTGTTCCATACACAATTCACTATATACATGATGTAAGAGTTCATACCTCAGTATTTCTGCTTTACGAAACTCATTCTCACTGATGGTGCATGGAGAAGAAATTTGGGACAAAGTGAAAGAGAATTATGAAATGAAACATTATCACAACTTTATAAAAATCTGAATTGCATCATGTAAGTCTTGCATCCAAATCATATGAAATGAGCAAAATATTGTGAGACGTACCTTTTAAAGGATACTGATGTTAATGATGTCTGCAGGTGTTTCAACTGATTCAGCTAAAAGTGGTTTGTGTATGGATTGTTTAATAATTTGATGAATATTATTTTAATCAAATAAAGACAAAAGATATTTTCTGATCTATGAAGCGTGATCCAACACATTTACTCTCGTTTGTAGCTGTAACATCATGGATATCTCCAATTCCGTTTAACCGCCAGTCAAAACCGGACGGTTTTTGGTTAAACGATTTTAAACAAAAAACAAAAAACAAATTTTTTTTTTTTTTTTTTTTTTTTTGTGGCCGACTCTGTCGGCAGCAAGCCAGGTCCATGTGAAAAAGCGGGCAGGACTTTCATTTAACCGCGAGGTGCAGTTGAAGGTGCCGATTTGTGCTTGTGAACTTGTCACAAATAATAGTAATCGTTTTTAGAAGAATGTGTAAGATCATTAATGTAAATTAAAAACAGTAGAGGACCTAGGATAGAACCTTGTGGTACGCCTTGTGTAAAAATTGGATGAATTATTATTATAAACTACATATTGAGATCAATTACAAAGATTATTTTCAAACCAAGATGACAGACAAATTGGAGTGTTGTTCTAGTTTCGGAGTGGTGAGTCAACACACAGATTACTGAGCTGGGAGACATTGCCAGGCATAGTTCCAGGTGGAGGGGCATAAATCGAAACTTAAAAAAAAAACAAAAAAAAAAACGGGAAAACGAAACCGTCCAATTGAAACCGGAATCCGCCATGGGCGGTCGGATACCGGACAGTCAAACGTTTGACTACAGCACTAATTGGTTTAGTAATCAAGGCTGCAAATGGGCTATATATTTTTAGGGTTTAAAGACCATGTTGAAGTGAAAAATGAAATAGATGAGTTATATGTCAACAGAAAGGTTAAGAGCTGTAGATTACAATAATATCAGTTATATGCTACTTTATTGTCTGTCAGAACAGTATCAGCTCTCTGAAAACCCGAAATCTATTAAGAGCTTTGAAAATCAGAAGTTGTCGACCTAAAAAATAGCCCGAGCTAGATACGGTTAAGGATTGAATTTAGGAGTTTGGTTAGTGTTAGAAATTGACCTCAGAGCAATTTTTTTAGAACATCTGTTGTAGAACCGTAGGAAATTATGTGCACTTGCAATGATTTTCTTTTTATAAATTCAGTAGAAGAAATACATAAATATATCATTCGCCGAGAATCATAATGGGGTTAACCTTTACACGTTAACATAAAGTAAATTTAGCACCTCTGGATCTCAACAGATTATACGTCAGTTAACCCTTAGACTTCTGAATTCATTCATTCCCATAGGCTTAATACAGTAGCCACCGGGTTCCAGGAGTCAACAGGTTAATAAGATGTGAAGTTACTTACTCGGTCAATGTTCTCAAGTGCAGCTCTATTGGGTAATGGTCACTCACAAGAGCAGCCTGAAAAAAAATACACAAATCATAACATTTGTCAGTTATTAGATTCTTTAGAATAAAATGGAGCTTGCCTTTTTGTTTCCAATCAGTTGTCCAAACTTGCAACGGGAGGAACAAGAGGATTGTGGAAAAATTCAGAGCGATTTATGCCGTGCATGATATGATCCCAACTGACAGTGTGTGATTAAATTGCAAACTTGGTGCAGCAGTTGATGTCCAGTGTTATAACTCTGGTAGAGTATATGACTTCATGTCCATGGTACTTTGTCCCATATGCTAGATCCTAAGATTTAAGTGTTGGATCTACCCGATGATGATCGCCCTATTGAGTTTGGATAAAACCAAACCTCAAGTAAAATGATCCTCATGATTCAAATTTATGTTCACAATTCCATACTACTTGTTAACAAATGGGACTCAAAATGGTGAATTGCTCTTTGGTCTACAACCAGTTGTATACTACCCAATTAGGCTATTCCCATATGGTCTACATTTAAGGTCTAATAATCATTGGAGGATGATTATTATTTATGATCAAATTATTTTTAGACCATACAGATAGTTAGAATACATTACCATTAGACCAACTGAGAATTAGACTAAATGAGTAATAGACCAAATGAGAAGTAGACTAATTGGAGATTAGTTCAAATGGAAATTAGACCAAATGACTATAAGCCTAAATGGTCAATAGCCCGAATGATTATTAGACCATGTGGATGGTAGACAGACTGGGTGTAGACCATATGGGAATAGACCAATTGGGCAGTAAACAAACCGGTTGTACGCAAAATGTCCCAAAACTTCAAACTTGCCCATGACCTCATGAGACCTTAGTTAGAATGAGGGGATTTACCTCTGTCTCGCTGAGATTATACTCCAGATCGAAACGGAACACTGTAGCTGAGTAGGGTACGATTCCTTCCTTTATCTCATTGCCTGCAATCACAAACCTGAAAAATACCATGGAAACAAACAAAGGCAGATGCCATGAATGACAGAATTTAAATCACATACGGTGTATCAAATATTCTTTGAGAGGTCATATATAATGCCCCACATGTTTATTCAAGAAGGAGACATCTTCTGAAGTATACAAATGTCTAGCAGTTTCTAAGAAAAGTAATATAACAATTGTTGGTAATTATCTCTTCAGATATTTTACCATGTAAAATACACTATAGATATTCATTCTGGAACTGCTCAGAAAAAATATCCCTGAATAGAGAAAAGGATGTTTTGTTCTTCGAAAATTGTCAAATAGTGCTATGAAATTTCCTTTTATTTTGTTGCTCTTGAAAATATACTGATATGCTATACATCTTTTTTATGACTGTAAAAGAAAATAAAATAAAAATGAACTACCTGGGAAGCAGGGGGGAAATAGATTTGAAGCTGCAACTAACAAAAAACTCACCTGTCATAAGCACAATCAGTTCCCTTGACAGTAGTATCAACATCATTGTTAATGAGCCAGCAGAAACGAGAATCAGACTTCAGACGAATATCAGACCATCTTCTCTTAGAAACATATGTGCAGTCAGCATTAAAGTCTCCTGTGAAGATGATGTTCTATGATTGAAACAAAAAGAATAAATTTGGTTGGCATTTAATTATCATATAAAATGATAAACTTGAAATACAGTGCTTATCATATAGGTAGATATATTAGCATTTAGATAACCTCCTTGAGAATATGGTTGAATGAAATATTGGTTTCATATAATAGCATATACAGTGTGAATCGTAGTAGAGTGGTAACAATGGTTATAAATGTAAAAATAATATGAAACATATAAATGCATCTACTGACTGTGAAGTCTATTAGCACAAAAAACACCTCTAACTTTATTGTTTGAATATAAATTATTTAAAACAAGACCGACACCTTCCCGAGAATAATTATGAAAATCATAAAAATGTTTGCTGGCTTTGAGAGAAGGAAATAGTTTACAGATTCTCACAAACACACCTGCACATGTAACTTGAGTTTGAATTCAAACTCAACTTACTCAAGTGAAGGAAAATCTCTTTTTTTCATTATTCTATATGTATTTTCTTAAATTGAAGGGCAGTTTGTTGACAATTAAATATGATAATGATGAAAAAGTTACATGAATTGAATAAAGCATGTAAGAAAGGTTATAATCTTCTTAAAAGAAAACAGCTTACCTCCACATCAAACTTCTGTTGGATGGCATTGTACACATCTACCAGGTTGTCTATCTCTGCCACTGCTTCATCAGGCTGTGTGTGGATACCACCAATTATAAACTCTTTCACATCTAAGCATGTTTATACGGGAGAGATAAACAAAAAAAAATGATAAGGTAATAGCAGAGGCAAAGGCAATTTAAAGTATACCGGGGTGATTAAAAGTGATTTAAAAGTAGACATTCATTGAAAATTAAAAGCATGGCGAATAATTTATCACTAAAACCAGGAAGCTTGCATAATTACGATTGTTGTGTCAACTGCTTAACATAAATTAAAAGCAATTCTCAGGATCTGGGATACAAGCACTTTGCCATTACTGGCAAATTGCCAGTAAATTTAACAATATTTTTATTACGTCACATCAGCGACCAATCCTGCATAAGCAGGCGACGTCCTACAATGACCATAATTTCAGTGCAATTATTTCTCAATGATGAGATTTTGATTGATTTTAAACATGAACATATTTTTCTCAACCAATTTAATAGGGAGGCGATGCTGATAATCATAATCCTTTGCTTAGAAACATTCAGGGCAAGAATAAATGTTTGATTAAAACCCACTGATATATTATTTGAGCTGAAGACAAAATGAGAGATGAATGAGAGATGCCTCCCTCCCCCCCCCCCCCCTTCAACAAAAATAGTGGAAGGATGAACCATTGAATACAAATGCTGCATTCAATCAAATCACATAACATTTCAAAAAGCCAAGCACAATTTTCTGTGTTCATATTTTCAAATATCTAGAATTCATTTTCAAAATTGTGAAATCATGATGTGATGTTTTGCGGATACAAGAATAACAAATCTTAACTTAATTTTTTTTTTCTCCATGTCTTAATTAAGCCATACATATAAAAAGTGGGTTAGAGTGAGACAGAGAGAGAGTGAGAAACAACCAGGGGGTGGAATATGGTGGGGGGGGGGGGGGGATTGTATCCACCCAGGGCCCATTTCTTCACCCATAAATATTCAGTCCATGTTTATGCACTACGTGTAAATCAAATGAAATGATACGCAGCCAAACTTACATGTTGTTGGGGATTTAAAATGAGCGATGAAGGGCTCCCTCTGGAAGTAATCTCCTTGTGTTTCTTCAAACACATAGCTTGTAATGAGCTCCAGCTTGCTGGGTCTGTTTATCACATAGATAGAATATGAAATTATTCAGAGGATTCAGTGACAATTAAAGATAAAGTTGAGTTCTGGTCATGCGATTGCATTGTGAAAGAAAAGGTGTGGAATGGATCAGAAAAAGTTGATCATGTAGCATGTAAGTATTGGTGTGTACTGCAAGACTCTGGTGTCATCAAAATCATAATAAAATTGGCCCAGTCTAATTGGTACAGTAACAAGCACTGTACACAGAAAGATGTATATGGGACTACACATATTGTGTCAGGGCTACTTACCTTGATTTCCTATCTTTCTATGCTCATTACTCAGCCAGTATACATTTCCTACCAAAATTGACATTCATTTGTAATCTTGAACATTCAGTGTAAGTTTCGTTTGATATACTGTGAGAATTCGTTTTATCTTTTTACCAGAACTCAAGTTTATCTTTAAAGCCTGATTTAAAAATAAAGGGGATTTGTCTCCAAATGATCAATGGTACACAGTACAGAATACGCCAGATAGATATTCCCTACTACTGCAAAGACTCTCAATAATGACAAGGTCTCTGATGTAGTATAGGTCCGTTTTGTACGTATACCTACAAAATTAATAACATGAATGTAATAATTAACATTCAATTTATGTTGCTATTCTTTATACCAGAGATGAAAGGAGAAATTCATGATACTGAAAGGTACTTTGTAAGGGTTTTAATTTTTCATTGTTCAACCCTTGATGTCCAAAAATTGAAAGAAAAAAAAAATACCTTCAACATCATGCTTTAGTAAACGTGACTAGCATACATGCAACTTTTTGTTGTTTTTATTCCTTAAACTTGATATCTTAATTTGCAAACCCACTGATGGGTTTGTATGGTTTATTGCCCATTTGGTCTATTGCTTATTTAGTCTAATTTATAGCCGGTCTAATTCCCAGTTTGTTGAATGCCCATTTTGTCTACTGTCTATAATTATGGTATAATACTAATTTAATCCTCCATGATAATAATCATCAAATGATTATTTCAAATGATTATTAGACCTCATGGATGGTAGACCAATATTAGCATTAAACAAACTGGGAATTAGACGAGCAATAGAATAAATGGGTTTAGACCATATGGAAATTGGACAAAATGACTATTAGCCTAATTGGTCATTAGACCAAATGATAAGTAGACGAAATGGATGTAGACCAAACGGCAATTCACTGTTTGTATTATCACAGAAATGTACTATTGGGTGGTATGAATGAATCAGATCATACCTGTAAAAGTAGGCATACTGCTCCTTACTTGATGTTCTGCCAAGACGCTCACTAATCACGTACTGAAATGGATCTGGATTTTTCCTGCATTAATCATCAAGATAAAACAGATAAAAGTCAGCATCATGTGGTAGCAGGATGACATTTAAAAAAATAATTACCCAATCATTAAATCACCAAAAAACATTCTTTTTACTAAATGTTCCAGGTTTCTTGTCGCTATTCTACATTCAATTATGAGCTTCTAATATTACTTCTGTAAATAGATATTGTATCAAAGTACACTTGATACAATGAAAAGTGATTGATGAAAAGACCATTATTGCCACACCCATACACACTTTCTTCAAGGGTATATTCACAGAACCAAGGTTGGGCTTGGGTTCCCTGCCCAAGGTATTTTATGTTATTTTTTTTATTTTCTTCATTCTCCTGATAAATAAGCCATTAAACCATAGAATGCCATGTGCAGTTGTAGGGGGATGATACATACTGTCTGTGCACAAATTCTTTAGGCGATCGGTCCCTTTGATTAGCAAATCTATATATATCTAGTAGAAAACTCGGTGGGATATTAAGGAATTGCCCATCATTATCAGGGCATATTTGAATCATATTCTTAAATAATTTGAATGTGTAATGTGCAACAGTTTACAAATATTTTTTTATTTATAAAATAGCCAAAAATTTAGATCGCTCAACAACAAGTCAACTATGGTAGAATTAACAAAAAATGGAAATGGAAAACAACAAAAAACATTTAAATGGAGTATTGCTGTTACGTACCTGTTCACCAAATCTTGGAGCTCCTTTACGGCAGGTTCATTTTCCCTGGAGTCACGAATCTCCTGGATCAAGACTAAGTCATAGCGATTCATAATCTATGGAGAAGGAGAAAGAAAGACAGTGCAAGACTGAACATAAGACTTCTAAATTAAATTTCTATCCATCTTGTTATTCTTGTACGATCTTCATTCTGTAATTTCCACCTGTAATTTGTTCTCTATTTTCACCTTGTAATCTGTTTTCTTGGATCATCTATCAGACCATAAACAGTCCATAATTACCCCCAAGACATTCATCTATTATGAAATCACACAGAGTATCAAAAGGTGGTCTGATGAGGCTTATACCCTACAACTGGCCTCAATCTTGCACTGGACTTAATGGGGTAAAGGGTAGACGGGACTGTTATGGAGACAACTTTGGGGGTGATTCAGTTCTAAGCCACCGACTAATGTCAGCGACTACTTACCTTGTTCTTGCAGGTGATGCATTAAAAGGAGAGGAGGGGAGGGGGCCAGTCCTATCACTGTTTTGTTATGGATAGTCATTATCTTAGCTCAGACACTGGTATTATTCAAACTTACCTTAGCTAGGATGTCCATGACATCGTCCTTACCGGACTTGGTTTCTCCAAAGATTTGGATATTGAAGGCTGCAATGCTCAGTGAGGGTATGCTGTGCTTAAACTTAGGGGGTAACATGGTGAACTCTATTGGGTAGTGATCACTAACGTCCAAAGCCTGTATAGATAGATACAGCATTATCATAGAGATCCATTGTATGTATACACTTGAATATGTATGACATTGATGACCTTGTTGGCAGAAAACAATGAGCATTTCATGATCTTCAAGTAAATGATTCACATGATTTCTGAGAGAGGCTATACTATGAAATAACACACAGAAGACTATTTCCATTTGGGAAAGTTTACAAAAATAGTACCTGCAAGCTTGTGGAGGCATTTCTTGTCCCATAATGTTACAACAGTTATAAATGAAAGTATTAAAATAGGGCTTTCCAAAAATGTTAGCAATACACGCAGGAAATGTCTAGTTTACTGACTGAATTAGATAAGACCTATTTTAAGGGTGGAGTTTAAGAACCATATATATATATATATATATATATATATATATATATATATATAAGACCAAAGTAGTATACCTCCTCTTGTGTCAGATCATATTCCGTATCAAATTTGAAGACTGCAGCAGAACATGGGAGAACAGATGATTCCATACCAGCACCAGCTATCACAAACCTGAAAATAGACATCATCATGGATGCATGGTACCTTTAAAGTGACTCGGTAACATTGCCTCAGATTCCGAAACAAAATCCTGGATTTAGCTGATGCTGCAATTATAATTATAAACCTTTCGGTCAGTCAGGAATCCCACGACTATCACAAGCCGATTGCCTGTCTGATTATCAAGATATTTATGATTGAAATCGAAATTAAAAAAACATTTTCCTAACGGTTTTTATTACACTACAGTCTATTGGGGGAAATGAGTATGGTAAAACCGGTCCTTCAGAGATTTTTTTTTTCCTGAGGTACTTCATGATCATTTTGAAGCGCAATTTTTTTAGGGCTTCAATATTACACCATATCACAGCCACTGATAACATGTAAGGCCATGCATCTCAGATTTAACATTGTTAAATGATGCCTTTAAAGGCTACAAAGTAATTCATTTATTTGAGGGATGATTAAGTCTGCCATTTTGAAAAAAAGAGATGTGCTTTTTGATAAAATGAAAATTTATGTTCTTACATTAGTGTGTCTTCTTTAATATTTCATCAACCAAAACAAGAATGATAAACTGTGGAGCTTAATTATATTGCTATAATGCTAATTCATTTCACCTGGTGATATTGTTAAGAGTTTCTGGTGAGGGGGGGGGGGGGGGGGTCTTTTATGAATTACTGATGCATTGATGCAAGCAAGTCTATTATACTGTACTCAATTATGCATGAATTATAGCAGTAAACTGAACTTCTGTGTGTCAGGAAATGTTAATCACTTTGCAACTTTTGCCTCAGATCATATAATTTGATAGGAACCAATAGAGCATTAAAAGCCTTTTGAACTCTCACCAAATAATACGTTTTTCTATACAACCAAGGACGGTCATTGTACTACAAATGCGACAAAAATTATTCAAACCCCACTGAACTGCGACCCTGGGCTTGTTCATTGTGTTTGGTATAATAGCAGAATGTCATGGTGGGTTAATTCACCTGGCCCAGTTGGTATGACCTCTGAATCTGATCTTTATTCTAGAATTCTAGCAAAATTAATTTAAGCAAAACAAATTTGGTATAATAGCAGAATTTCATGGTGGCCTGGCCCAGTTGGTATGACCTCTGAATCTGATCTTTATTCTGGAATTCTAGCAAAATTAATTTAAGCAAAACAAATTTGGTATAATAGCAGAATTTCATGGTGGGTTAATTCACCTGGCCCACTTGGTATGACCTCTGAATCTGATCTTTATTCTAAAATTCTAGCAAAATTAATTTAAGCTGTGTTTGTCTTATCAACTCTAGCATGATATACACACGAGATGGGAGCAATGGCACATCATATCTCTAGTATAAAAAGGATCACTGCCAAAATAGTTGAGTTTTACCTGTCATAGGAGCAATCTGTGTTTGAAACGGTAGTGTCCACATCATCTTCTATAAGCCATTTATAACGAGGGTCGGTACGAAGGGGCACCTGCTCCCATCGATAGTTGGGTACGTAACTACAGTCAGCGTTGAAGTCTCCGGCAAAGACTACATCCTATACGGGGAAACCAGGGTCATAAAGTCTTGGTGACCTACATGTAGCTGACACTTGCAAGGGGTTATTTTATTGGGTCAAGCTCGCGCTATCCATAAGGACCACTATTCATTAGGACCGCTATCAATAATGCGTAACAAAATGAATAGCGGTCTTTTATAAATAGCGGTCCTTATAAATAGCGAGCAGACCCTATTTTATCAAAGATATAGGTTTAAGGTTGCAATTTTCATTTAGATTAGGTTTACGTTTAGGATAAGGGTTCAGTATAGTTAGTTGAAGTCAGTAATGCAGAGTAGGAAATCAAGTATGGAGCAAGCATCACAGAAACAAAGTCTATCCAGGTTCTGAGTATATAGGGTTAAGTTTGGATGATCTAACATCAAGAATTACGTCCTGTAGAAATCTATTCCTACATCCACTCTGACCACCTTTTTTGCCTATATAAGCATCAACACCACCATTACTAAATATCCACTGATATATATAATGTTAAAATCTTCCCATGAGTATAAAGTTAAAATAACACCACAATGCACAAATATACAAATCTATAGACATAATATGTTTTACTAAAACTTACAAGCACTTGTCTTTATCAATCCTCTTTAAATGCATTCCACATGAAATGGAAACTAAAAATCCAATAAAACTTTAACATTGTTCTCCACAAGTTCAGGCAATATCTCAAGTGGGACAGTGCAAATTCATGTAGCTCTAACAAAAAAAAACACCTTTCATAAAGTGCTGAAACCAAAACAAATATTTGTCTTTTGTGTCAGAATACGGAACACTGCACATCTTTTGAATGTTAACATAGTACATACCTCCACTCCCAGCTCTTTGTCAACCTCAACCAAAAGACTTATTTCTTCCCAAGCGTCTGCGGGTTTAGTGTGGATCCCAACAATGGCAAATGGAGATACAGCTGATAGCAATGAACAATAGTACAATAGCACATTAATAGCACATTATCCCTTTATCATTTTTGGGGTATAATTGGTTTTTCCTGGTTTATGTTACTAGAGAATGCGACAAAAGACTGCAAGAATATTTACACTAAAATTACTTAAAATTCCACTAGTCCAACTTTTATTCTTAAGAAAAACACAAAAGACTTAAAACTTATATATTTTGTTAATTTATTTAATTATTTATTCATTTATTTATTACTTATTTATTTATAACTCTACCATTGTAAGTTTCTCAATTTACATAATACATGTATCTATAACATTCAACTGAATCACTTTCTTCACTTTTCACAATTCATATACATACCAGTATAACTAGACTCAAAAACAGCGATATAAGGCTCTCTCTCAAATCTGTCCCCTGGGTCTTTGTATACGTAATCCTTCACCAAGCGTGCCTTGCTACTCCTGAAATTTATGAGAAATTTGTACATGAACACCAGAAAATACACTCATGAGCAAGGAAATAGTTAAAGCACTTGGACTAATTTATTTTTATATTTTATCTATTTTTATTATGGGGGCGTTTTTCATGGTATTACTAAATTAATTGAGTGATGTAGAGTACAATCATGAACCAATTACTTTTTTAGCACAGCAGATGAAACTATAAGTACTAATCGTTACAGTCTTTACATTGATAAAGAACTGGAGAAAATGGACTGAAGTATTAATTACACTCAAGAGCAAGGAAATAGTTAAAGCACTTGGACTAATTTATTTTTATTATGGGGGCGTTTTTCATGGTATTACTAAATTAATTGAGTGATGTAGAGTACAATCATGAACCAATTACTTTTTTAGCACAGCAGATGAAACTATAAGTACTAATCGTTACAGTCTTTACATTGATAAAGAACTGGAGAAAATGGACTGAAGTATTAATTACACTCATGAGCAAGGAAATAGTTAAAGCACTCGGACTAATTGATTTTTATATTTTATCTATTTTTATTATGGGGGCGTTTTTCATGGTATTACTAAATTAATTGAGTGATGTAGAGTACAATCATGAACCAATTACTTTTTTAGCACAGCAGATGAAACTAAGTACTAATCGTTACAGTCTTTACATTGATAAAGAACTGGAGAAAATGGACTGAAGTATTAATTACACTCATGAACAAGGAAATAGTTAAAGCACTCGGACTAATTTATTTTTATATTTTATCTATTTTTATTATGGGGGCGTTTTTCATGGTATTACTAAATTAATTGAGTGATGTAGAGTACACTCATGAACCAATTACTTTTTTAGCACAGCAGATGAAACTAAGTAATAATCATTACAGTCTTTACATTGATAAAGAACTGGAGAAAATGGACTGAAGTATTAATTATTAAAAATAATAATCGATTTTAAACACAGGTATGTCACAACACAACTTTATATTGACTCAAATTGACATCATATTCAGAAGAATTTGGCTCTAAAAGAATTCGGTTGAAGATTGCTTTTATCAAACATATTACCACCTTAAATTAAAAGGAAATAAATAAATAACTTAATAAGTTTTTCCACTCTCTACTAACTTTTACTGATTGAAATCGTAACCAAGGATAAGATTACAAAATCACACCATTGTAAATAAATGTGAAAGCATATCAAACTTTATGCTAAAATCATCAAAAAATTGATGTTTCATCATTATGATCATTAGGAAGCAACACACCATACTAACAACAAATATATCCACACAAAGACTGGACTTGTTCTCTGATATTTGATTCTCCTCACCTGTAAAAATATGCATACTGCTCCTTGCTAAACGATCTTCCCAAACGCTCACTAATAACCATGGCATACGGATCACTACTGGCCACGCTGTATGTGCAAGGTGATTAAAATGAAGAAAATTAGTTTCATTCTACTTAATTGTACAGTGAAAGTATTTTGTCCTTGAGTTCATATTAATACCTATACATATCATTTAAGCTTATATAGAAAGTTCATACAGCCACTTTAAAGTACAGGCTTGATTTATCATGAGAGCTATTCGTTTTGTGGCTCGAAAACCTGAAATAAAAACATGTTTTATAGTTATTGTTGATAAATCATAAATTTGTCATTTAAACTTTCAAAGGAAAATCTTGATCTACATTTCTTTTTAAGGCATGGACATTGTCATTGATTATTTTCACATAAATTATAATCTAAAATATCTTGAATGATTCCTTTTGTGCAAAATACTAACATTTACACAACTACACCTAAAATCCCCATGCATATACCACAATGAAACAAGATTTTTAAAATAGATATCTTTCAGAGATACTCTTAAAGACATCACTATTCATTGTATTTTGCAAGCTATATATTGAGAGTGACACTGTACACACCTGTTAACCAAGTTCAGAAGAACATCAATTGCTGTACCCTCGCTATCCCTGATTTCTTGAAGTAAGATGATGTCATAGCGCAGAATGATCTGGATAAAATTGTAAGAAAAATCTAGGAAATTCCTTATACTTGTTGAATACGTCTCTATGGATTAAAGGGTAGAAAGCAGGTACGCCCTTGCAAAACACAGTGGCCCGTATTCTGAAGTAAGGTTTAACTTATAAAACCTGACTTCAGAATACGGGCCAGTATATATTGTTTACTTGCCCTCACGATGGTAGCCACAACAGTTGTGTCAGTCATCTTTTTCTGTCCAAAGATCCTCAGATTGAAGGCTCCCACTCTGAAATCTTGTGATGTCTCTTGGAGAGCTCCCACCCTGAAATCCTGTGGTATCTTTTGGATATCAGCATCACTTCCAACACCCAATAAGAGTACCATCAACAGAACTCCACTTAGCTTCATCTTGAGGTTCTTTGTGGTTTTATAGTACCTGGAATATAGCTAAAAAAAGCAAATATTGCAAGTATCAATAAACATTAATCTTAATTTAAAAAATATCCTTGATGCAAATTCACTTATTCTTCATTTATATAGGTAACCATTAGACGATCCATAACCTTGGATTGTTAATCCCTTTCGGCAGCTCTTAATTCTGTGATGAACAAAAAGATGACATAAAGCACTGTAAAATTAATGCAGTTTTAAATAGATAAATTGAAGCTTATCGATCATCTAGCTCCACATAGAGATGTTAATGTAATATGAACAAAAGACCACAAAAAAAATCAAACAATTTGTTTTAATTATTTCTAATATTTTACCTAGATCGATCTAATTTGATTTTCATAATTTGATAATTTAGATCTAGATCTAGACAGACTACTATAGATCTAAATTAAAGTGTCTTTATAATAGATCCTGTCTGACATTGTAATAAATTGCAGTGTGTTGCCAAAAATCATTCCAAGGTTATATGAATTAGTCTGTTTATATTTCGATATGCAAACTTTCGTGCATTAAATCAAGAGGATATACTCTAACTATAGATCTAAAACTGAAACTAAAAGAAAAAGTAGAGGCCCCTAGACTATAAAACAAATTTCAAATTACTGTACCAGTTAGAGCTCCGGTACTTGATTCCTGGGCATAAAACTTGGCGTGTCAAGCATTTATCTGTGTACCTACATGTATATACTGATCCAATAATACAGCCACCGACCACTCACCTTCGAGCCGTATAAAGGCGGAGCCAGATCTTTGTCTCAGCAGAACAACCGTCGATATCAGGCACCAGCCAGAGAATAACAAAATACAAAGGCGAACACATGTACTATATCACTTACGGAACCTTCACTTTGGTATTGAACGTACGGAGCGGTACTCACGAGTTCATGCACTAAGGAGTATTAGGAACAACAACACAATTGAGCTCAAGTGGCTCTTTTGTCCGAAGAAAAACTTCTTTTTTACTTCCGCAAGTTAATGAGTGAAATGGTAATGCACATGTAGACCTACTTACGTATTAATACCCCCCCCCCCCCCCGCATGATGAAAAAGGGACATTCCGTCCTCCTTCGTCTCATAGTCTACTTTCACTTTCAGCTTCGAGAGTCACGAGAACATTTTTGCAAGTTTATGATAGTCGAGTCCTGGCGCGTAGCCAGTGGGGGGGGGGGGGGGGGGGGGGCGTTCGCCCCCACGAAACGCCAGCCAAGAAAAGAAAGAGAAGAACAAAAGTAAGAGGACGTAGGAAGAAAAAGGGAAAAGAAGTCGGGAACTATATATCGAATCGTCTTCTTTCTTTAATAATTTAATGAAACGTCAAAGCTCCCGCACGCGCGCTTCACGTGGGAGGGGGGGGGGGGGGGCTAAATTCAGACAAGCCGATTAAGAGTCGAGAACGGTACGAGTCGTCTTCTTTCTCTAAAATATTAAAGGGAACCAAAACCTTCATACTACTACTAAGTCACTTTTATTGTAAAGTTTAAGAGAGTTGTCCACGGATGATGTCATCAAATTGAATATCGCCCTCTATAGTGACTAGTCATTTCAAAAAGCTCTAACTTCTTTATTCCTTGTCCGATTTTGTTCAAAGTTTCACTGATTTTATTCAAATCTTTTAAACTTTACAATAAAAGTAACTTAGTATGAAGGTTTTGGTTCCCTTTAATGAAACTCCCCCTCCCTTCACCCACCCCCTAGGGAGCGCTTCGCGTGCTCACTATACCGCCCCCTAAAATCAAATCGTATAGCTACGCGCTTGGTCGAGTCGACGTGGCTAGCTGCATGGGAGTTCAAATTTTAGACCATCTTGACAATGTCACCGTATGATCATTCCATTAATAAATTTTAATTGTAAAAATTGTAATCACTTTCACAAAACTGGCAAAAAATTACTGCCAAGATTATACTCCCAATAACATAAAACAGTATAAGATATAATTTGCCCGTTATTTTTTTTAAATGGGTATTTATGTAATTTATTGAAATATCACATAGGCAAGTCAAAGTCAGGAACTATATTCGTTTACCTTTACATAACTTCGTGTTTAAGAAATTGAATAAGAACTTTAAAGAAAACACATATTTTTTGTTATTATCTAAACCTTTCGCCGTTAACCATGTAACATTTCAAACTGTTGAACCGTTGACATTTTTCAAGGATTACACTTTCTGAATCTTCAAATCCGTAGAAATTTTAATCTATTAACGTTTTTAAACTATTAAACTCATTAACAAAATTATGGTTAGGCCGTTAAAACTTTAAAATGGTTGCACCATTCCAAACCAGTAAAAGATTTTCCTATTTGTAATTTTCTAAACTTCTAAACTTCTAATCTTCTAAACATTTCGAACATTAACATGATTAAACCATTATACCTTTCAATTCGTTATAAAGTCTCTCAATAATTAAACTTTCTAAAACTCCAAACTTTATAAACGTTTAAAGGTTCAATCTTCAAAACATATTACTTTCATTTCATTGCATTTATCTTTATTTTTCTTCAGTTCTTTTGGTTGTGGAACGGACGTAACGGGTTAAACCATGGACCTACTAGTACTACGGGAAGTCCATGGTTTAAACCTGTTGAGCACTGGTTAATCAACTTAACTTAGCATAATGCTTGAAAAAATTAGGACCCGTCAGTTCCGCTTTGCCAATGGACATAAAATGGAATAGGTAAGTCAACCTTGTTTTTGCGATCGTTTTTCCAAAAAAAAAAGCGGTTTGGTTTAAAAATATCAGAGGTAAAAATTGTTAGAGTTAAAAATGCCAGAGGTAAAAGTGTCAGAGGTAAACAACTTGCCAGGGTTACAAATGTCAGAGGTAAACATTTCCGTGGTCACATTGTGAACGTTTAGTTCTCATTATGAGATGAAATAACTGATCCTGACGGGGGGTTTTATAAGCACAATCTTAAAATGAAAGAATTAATAAAACCTTCAATATGAAATTTGAGAAAAAATTGTTCTTATATAGTGGCTTTAAATTTTAAATTTAGGGCAATGTGCCACCTCCCCCACCCCGGCTCCACCGCCTTTAATTGTGGTGGTAGAAGAAAAAAAGGTGATGTTACTTTGAAAGCTACTCCGCAGTTCTTTAACACTATAGATAAAGCTAGGCCCCTTTAGATAACCGCAAAGGGGCAATAGTTGTAAGCGACGGTAGGAAATATAGGTAAAAAGGAGTACTCATTGAAAGAAAATTAAATAGGGAAACTTATTGATAGGGTCACGTTATTCTGTATTCGATCGACTCCGCGGTACCTAGGTCCAGTCGCGGATCCAGTATTTTTTCAATAGGGGGGGGGGGCGGATATTTGAAAATAAACTTTTAATATTTTGTTTACTCAACGTCCCCCCCCCCCCCCCCCCCCCCCCCCCCTTGAGTAAAAAAAAAAAGTAGGGTAAAATTGTGGTTACCATCTTTTTAAAACTTTTTGGGGCCAGGGGTGCCCCCCCCCCCTGATCCGCCCCTGCCTAGGCCTATCAATGGAACTTACAGCTCTCTCTGTAATACTCTGAAATCGGAATATGGGGAATATATCTGCACGAATAAGTAGATGACAAGTCATTATAAAGGATAATCAATTTTGTGAATAGTTAGTGAATTTGTGATCAAACACTTCAACCACTTTTGTCACTTTATTGGGAATCATGCAGGTGTACGTTTCGGAGACTTGTGGCAACACATTTTGTATGCATATAGTGTTTGTGTGTATATCACTGTTGCCACCCTTAACCCCACCCCACCACCGGGTAAATTTTTTGAGTCTGTCATAATAGTTGTAATCCCTATCTATTTTATTACAATCGTAATAATCATCGGCATCGTCATCATCACCATCATCATCATCATCATCATCATCATCATCATCATCATCATCATCATCACTGTTCTCTCAATAATTTGTTCATCCTGCTATAAATGGATTGTTCAGCTGTTTAATAAGTTTGGTTTTGGCCGGGCTGTCATATTTTCAAGCATTTTGCTTACGATGGCAGTCCTAATTCAGGAAATAATTATTTAAAAAGTTTGATGATATATGATATATGAAATTTGTTTCTATAATCATCATTATGATATTTTGCTTATTTATGATTCATTGTCAGAAAGTTCTTTTCAGTATTAAATATTACAGGAAATATACAGGAAATTCAAAGTTTATATTGATCATGCACAGAAGAGCCTAAAATAAAATCAAAATAAAATTATCAGAGGTGAAAAGGAGTATATCATTATAAGAACGAGAACTTAGCACTTATTAGAACGGGAAAATGGGCACTCATGAGAAGGGGAAAGGGCACTTATTGAAAAAGAAAAGGGGGACCTGTTAAAGTAAAGGAGCATTATCAGAGCCGAAAAGGGGCCGGTGTCTCTAGCTAATATACCTTTAAAAAAAAAGTGGCACTGTAAGGGATCAGAGATGAGGAGGGGCACTTCTTAGAAGGTAGAATGCACTTAGTACAAAGGAAAGGGGGTGCTAGTTGCCAAGGTAAGGGACACCTATTGGATTTGGATAGGGGCGTTCATCGGAGGTGAAAAGAAGCTTTTTATTAGAAAGCTAGGGGAATTAAGCGGTATTTATTACAGAAAGGAAAAGGGTGGGGGTGACTCTGTGACAACCCGGGGAGCACCGCCACTGGCTATTAAGTTATACTTTACTTTAACTTTAATATCATTGCTATTGGAATTGGCTGATTATTTATTCCTGGAAAAAAAATAACCCCCACGAAATAACCATAGGCCTACTTTACTATTTTAGTAGGAGTACGAGTATGAACTTTAACATGCCGTCGATCGAGTCTTGAGCTAAGACTAGCACAGTTGAGCGACAGTTCTGATGATATGACAAAGCGAAATTGACTGAAGTTTACTGCCAATTTTTGATCTTCTTGTCGACATTGGTCTATCTATTAACTTCATTTTGAATTCAGGCGGTAAGTAAACGTAGGCAGAGTGTAAGATTGAACGTAGGTCTATTCAAATCAAATGCAGGCACGAGTTTGACTGCACGATGTCTGGTGATGGTTGCGTTAATTGAGCCTGGCCCCACACATAGCTTGCTGTGTATTAAAAACTGTTCTGATTCTCAACTTTTAAAACGACACTGTTCAAAACTCAACTGATTTCACTCAAAATCGGGCGTCGGTACTTTAGTGACAATTGATGACACCTAAATAGCAGTAAAATACAATTTTTTTAACTTACCGATGTTAGAAAAATTCAAATCGTGAGTCTAGTTAGCTAGTTCTACTTGCCGATCAGCCACTTCGTATTCATTGTGTGCAATTGTAGATTCTATGTAATGTGTGCATTGTGTGCACGTGCAATTGCTGCTTCTCAGCAGGTATGCAGTGCTAGAGGTCAATACACATTAGCATTGACTCTAGACCCTATGCTTTGCTGGATTGCCTGGCTCTTGGTACGATTATGAATATAATGCATACATTTCGGCGTGAAAACCAGACATTATTAATTAATAAGACATCTCGCCTTGCGATCTAGTATAGGTCTCTAGCAGACACATGCCGACGATGCCGTCGCATTCTACCACTTGATACCTGCGAGAGGCGTCTCCATGAGCGGCGAGCTGAGTCCACAATTACTTATGGTATCGTACAGTGCTGTAGCCCGGAAGGCTTACCGGGTTCCAACCCGCCAGGTCGAGCATTTCGGGGGGCCGAACTGTAGCCAGAATTAGATCAACTCGGTAACAAAACCCGGCAGTAAAAAAAAGTTTTTAAATACCTCAATGTTCGTTATCTACTTATCTTTCATCACGATAAAACCGTCAAAAGTAACTGTAAACAAACACAGCATGATGGCTCGATCTTTTACATCTGTTGACCTACCTGTCTTTGCAATATACTGCACACATAGATTTTGTGTTGTGTGTTCAAGTGTGTATATGTATCTCCCTGGCCCTGCCTGCAAGTGATGTGACTGATCAACTTACTGTACTGACCAATAAGAATGTTTACCCCGAGTGGGCGGAGAGTGAAACCAGCATAATTTAAAGTTCAGTGACTGCTGGCACAGTAGAACAGATCATTCATAAATTATGAAGTTTGTTAATCTAGCTGATAGCCGATATAGCGAGTGGCAAATTTACATAATGTGTATGAGGGTGTGTATGTGAAAATTTGTTATACTTGAGGTGGAAGCTGAGCTGAGAAGAAGTCAGCAGAGAGTAGTATTCAGTAATTTCATCATCAAATTACTTTTAATTTAATTAGCAAACAATACTTACCCTAATTTGTTCTCTGAAGATAATTTTTGGGGTCCATCCTCTCTTATTCTGTCTCTCCCTGCCTTAATTCTTAACCAAAATTGAACAAAAAGTTTTAGCCAGATTAGAAGAAAAAAAGAAGAACAAAAATGATAAGTGTGTGAAATGTTGATAGTCTTTAGAGACGAGAAGGAAAAAGAAGTTATCTTCACTATTATTTTTCCTTTCATCTCTACCTTTTTTCAATTCTACTTATCATCTTTCGAATATGTTTTAAACCTGTTTCCCCCCTCAAATCAATTAGATCTTCTTTCTTTTAAAAGTACAGAATCATTTACTTAATGTAGTATTTCGCATGTTTTTTTTTCTATCTTAAGTTTCTTTCATTTTGTCTCTCGATCCCCCTAAAATTCATTCACATCTCTTTCACCATTATGTTGCAGAAATTTAGAATACAAAAACATTCCCTATCAAAGATTAATGCATGCCAGACAGCTTGGGTCCAGCTGGGTGTAACATTACACTGCGGTTTCTTTGAACAGGGTTCAAAATTTCAAAGGTTAAACATGCAGCCTTTGTCCGGCTATCGCACATTCCAAAATATATGCAAATATCGGCTAAGCGTATAGCATTCAACCCTCAAGGCTATTAACGGTAAGTAAGATTGCATTTTATACCTATGACAGGTCAACAACAAAAAATACTGAAAATTGCTCAAACAGCTCAAATGACAGCATCATTTGATATTTGTGTATTCATGCAGGTACCATCAGGACAAAGATGACAGACAAGGGCGACAAGGACAAGAAAGTAGACCTTGGTCTTCTGGAAGAGGATGATGAATTTGAGGAGTTTCCTGCAGAGGGTGAGGAGAGCTCTTCATCTTTTTTTTCTTCTTGAATTTCCAATTTTTTTATATCTTTGAAAAAAAGTTGAGTAAAGGAAGGAAAAAAAAAACACTTAAAATTCAACAAAAATTCCTTAAAATCATGCAAATGTAGGGATATTTGTTTAACACCTTTTTTTACAGTTCATGAGTAAGTTGTTGGGATATTGCATGATTACTGTGTAAAATGTCCCCATAGTCCATACATCTACACCTACAATCATAAACCCACAGTTATAGTTTGGGTTAAGTTTACATGTGGGTACTGTAAGTGGAATTAACTCCCAAGTGTATACATGTAGTATGCAAAGTTGAATTTCTATAATACTAATTGTAGTGTATTGAGTTCTGCCAATATAAACCAAAATAATATTGTCCAGAGAATCCAACAAAATTCATCACTTGTTAACATTTGAAATTAATGAAATCTACATTGTTTGATTTAAAAAAAAATCATAATGAAAGATGGAGTACAGTGGATTTCTTTGGATATAGTACATATAGTCCCATTTGTAAGTACATGTGTGAACGATTTATTTCATGTAACTATCATGAATTTCAGAGAATTCTATATTTAAGGTTTACGGTACTTGCTCTTCCTAATGTGTTCGATATGTACAGTGCATAATGTTTTTAATTTTTATGCCTCCGTCACGAAGTAGCTGGAGGCATTATGTTTTCGGGTTGTCCGTCCGTCCGTCCGTACGTACGTCCCGTTCTCGTGATCGCGTTATCTGAAGAACCGATAGATGGATTCCTGCCAAACTTTGGTCATGTATGTATCTTGCAGAGCCGATGAGTTGATTAAATTTTGGGGTCGCGAGGTCAAAGGTCAAAGGTCACAGGGCTCATTATGTATGCAAAAACAGCTCGTGATCGCGTTATCTGAAGAACCAAATGATGGATTCTTACCAAACTTTGGTCGTGTATGTATCTTGCGGAGCCGATGAACTGATTAGATTTTGGGGTTCGCAAGGTCAAAGGTCAAAGGTCACAGAGCTCATTATGTACATGTATGCAAAAACAGCTCGTGATCACGTTATCTGAAGAACCGATTGATGGATTCTTACCAAACTTTGGTCATGTATGTATCTTGCAGAGCCAATGAACTGATTAGATTTTGGGGTCACGAGGTCAAAGGTCACAGCGCACATTATGTATGCAAAAACAGCTTGTGATCGTATTATCATTAGAACAGATTGATGGATTCCTGCCAAACTTAGATTATTTATGTACCTTGCAGAGCCAATGAACTGAGTAGATTCTTGGTTCATAAGGTCAAAGGTCAAAGGTCATGGGCTCATTATGTATGCAAAAATAGCTTGTGAACGCATTCTCATTAGAACTGACAGATGAATTTCTATTTAACTCAGGACATCTTGCAGAGCCAATGAACCGAGTAGATTTTAGGTAAAAGATCAAAGGGTTATACATGTATATGCATATGAGAAATTGCTTGTAATCACGATATTCTGAGAACCTGTTAATGGATTACGATGAAAATTGAATTTGAAAAATTTCTTCTGTTTTGGTTTGTAAAATTGCTCTATGACGGAGGCATCATTTTCGACTGCGCGCAGTCGAAGTTCCATCTAGTTGATGCTTATGACGCCACAGATAATGCAGTTTATGGAGGATTAGCCATAGGTTTTTTCCTTAACTCTCAGATGATTAACGAAGTCCTGGATGAACGATTTTCTGTCTACACACATATTTCTTGTGTTGATACAATTGGACATACAATTTGTTCACTGTTGTGTAATCCTATGTGTGCCATTAGATGGGATGCCTAATTAAGATCATTATTTATTTCTCTCTTACTTCTGCTTGTCTTTTATTTAGAATGGAAGCGTGATGAAGAAGATCAGTCAGATAACAATGTGTGGGAAGACAACTGGGATGATGACAATGTAGAAGATGACTTCTCTATGCAGCTAAGGTAAAAGTCTATTCATACACAGCTCTTCTACCAAAGTATGGTATGGAACAGCTGCGTATCATTGTTCTTTCCATTATAGGGGGCTCTGGTTTCATTATGTTGGGGAGGGGGGCACCAGAAATATTAGGTGGATAAAATTCGAGAGCAAGGCCATAGAGAGACAAGTGGGGTGAGGGGGGCATGTTGCTATTTCCCTCTCCCCCCTCCTTTTCCTGTTCATTCATTCCCATTGAATGATGGAAGTTGGGAGGGGGTGAGGGTTAACTTGAGAAGTGTGAATAACACATATTTTGCATAGCACCAAGAAATTGATTCGACTTTGTGAAATTTTTGACTTTGAGTAATGCAGAGTTAAATGTATTTGAATGTCATCGTAGACAATTTCAAAATACACATTTAAAGCCCCTCTGCACTAGTTTGGCATGGAGGGGTTAGACCTCCCTGCAAGGTCACTGGCAGGTGGTTATCTCATTAAATCAGCTCTCAATTAACATCAGAAAAGGGGCATTATAGGGGATCAACAGGTATTTGATATAGCATGATTACAGAAACTGCTGAAATACAATGATTGTATCATTAATTTCAAACCGTTCTTTTCCATTTTTCTTCCCACCCCCCCCCCCCTTTCCCTTTTTCCTTTTCATTCCCTTCCTACAGGGCTGAGCTTGAGAAGCATGGTCACAAAGTCAATAACCAAGAGCAAGAGCCGATGAGATCGTAGCATTTTGTGTAAATGCAACATTTGTATATTTTGTATCATAAGCTCTGTAAACAGTAGGAAATTGTAAACATGTTTCTTTCCTTAGGGACCCGCATGGAATGTATTGAGATGAAACAGTCGTATGAAAGGTAGTTGTCTACCGGTATCTATCCCCATCACGAGGTATTCATATTTCCATGTGCGATGATACCTTCAATATACCATTTTTGTCATGTTATCAGATTTAATGCATAAATCTTTGTTAAGTACCACGTTAAAAAAGGTTTCATTCACTTGTTAAAAATAATTGTATTTCATTAGTCAGATTGCAAATTGCATACATTAATTGTTGATAGATAGGACATACATTATGGTTTGTACTCTAAATAATGAAATACAATTATTTGTCATGGGTGAAAGATACAATTTGTAACGACTCTAACAAGGTACTTTAAAAAAAATTGTGCCTAAAATTTGATGACATTACGAAAAATGGCCTATTTTAAGTCCATTAAACCACATAAAACAGTTTATTACAATGGTATTGTATGACAGTGGAGCCCTCAGCCCTTATTCACACTGAGGAGCCTGACACCAGACCAACAAAAGCCTGAACATGAAATTACTTTACCCCTATTGTCAAGTATTTTGTTGGGTAACAGTTAGCTTTGGGGTGATCTTGTGATGTTACTGAGGTGTACGGGACGGGCTATCACATTTACAGGACTTGTATTGCTATATCTGACAAATTCATGACTTATTTAGAAGTGGTGTATAACGGCATTGTCCTTTGGAATATTGATACATAAATGTTTTTGCCAAAATCCATAGTTTTTGAAGATTTTAATTTAAGTAATGATGATTTGCCATGGATCTGTCTCCAAAGGTTATAGTGATGACAATGAATGTGAAGGATAGTGTAAATTTGAAAATTGTCTCGGACCACTTGAAATCACTTTCATATACACATATGCAATGTTATACTAAACATCAATTGTGTAAACACCTTAAAGTCTTCGTGTGAACAAAATGCACCAGTATCGTGAAAATAGGGACTGTTTATGAGTCAGAATCTTTAATATCTGTAAAATTCATTATCTGATTTTGTTGGAATTATTTTGTTGCTTACGTCCAATTATAAAGAAGTTTTCATATTTTCATTCCAATAAAATGGTTGTCATGCATCGTAGCAGAAAGTGGTACATGTAATTTGTTTCAGTCAGGTTGATGCTGGTACATGTATAAGACGAACAGATTAAGAATAATTTCACATCATGAACAGTGTATTCAGGATGCTTATCTCCACTCAAGTCATTCAAGTTGATATATCAATTCAAACGAGAATATGATTTTGTGTAGATCATTCATACTGGAAAAAAATATGAAAATATTTGTTCACCTCTCCATGAATCTTTTGCAACATCATATTGGAAAAATATCATGGTTTCAGATTTTTCACATGCATGGTATTCCGGAGAGAACAGAATTAGCTTTAGTAAAGTTATTATAATAGTGATGGTATTGATATTGTCATTTTGCCATGCCAATACAAAACTTTCTAGGGGGGTAGTAAGCAATTTTTATTTTTATTTGTTCCGACCTTAAAAAAAAAGAAGAAAATCGCACCCCCCCCCCCTCCCCTTGAGCGCCAGGGGAGGGGGCCCGTCTCTAAATAAAGGTAAAATTAACGTTGTTTTACCTGTTTTTTCCCTGGGGAGGCCCCCCCCCCCCCCCTGGGTCCGCCACTGGCTTAAAGGAATATTTCCAAATCCCTTTACTGATGAAAAGGCGGGTATATATCAGCTGGTGTTGTGCTGCGTAGACGAGCTAAATGTTTAAGGTCTGTGGGTCGCACTGAAAAATATTACATCTTATAAAGAGGAAAAAAGACTGAAAAGATCTTTAATAAGAAACAAAATTATAAAGATTCCGACGGCATTCGAAGTGCATTCCATTTGGATTCTTTTAGTAATATTATACCGAAAATATTGAAATAGATTCCGGCGGCAATCGAGATGCATTCAAAGTACATTCAGGACATTATTGCATTGTGGTCCGGACGTTCCAACTGCATTCGAGCCGCATTCGAAGTGCCCATAATTATATACAGTGATTAAACAACTTTCAACAATTCATAACTTTCATATAATTAGTCAGATTTTATTTATTAACTTATTTCTAATCTGTTGTCAGGGTAGTCAATTCACCAATAAGTAGTGGTCTTCCATGGGGCCCTGAATAAACATGAACATATTTACACCAAAAAGCATAACGTTTATACAGAACAGTTTAAATAAAATTCCATAGTAGGCTTACATTTAGAAAGATATGACAAAGCAATAATAGACGTGGCAAAAATAATACTTGTTTGCAAAATAAACATATATCATTAACCTACATATAGTTTAACAGTAATGCCAATAGGAAAATATCGATAAAGTCGCAATTATGTGAATAAATCATGTGAATATTACAGAATGTGCACGTAGTGTATGTTCGGCTGAGCCATTCACAAATTACACCTTTCTTTAAACAATCTCTTAAATGGATTGACAGAAGAAGCCGTTCTCATCGAATTATCTAGCTTATTCCATTCAAATATAGTTGAAGATATTTGTATTATATTTTAATAACTTTTCTATATTTATTTATATAACTTCATAGATATCATAGGTATAATTATATATATATACCAAGGGTTTACATATGAAAGAGGAAGGAAGAAAGGGAGAGAGAGAGAGAGAGAGAGAGAAAGAAGAAGAAAGGTATGGGTGTAAAAGTAAAGAGCGTGTTATCAAAAATGGAACACTTGTAAGGGTCAAGGGCTTTGTAGTCCTGTAGAAGTTATTACGTATTGCACATATATGCTAATTAGATTAATATGGCTATTACAAAAGTTGCCCAAAGTTGCCAAGCTGGCAACCAAGCTGAATTTACTTCAATACCCATCTAGAACACAAATCAACAAAAAAACCTTGTACTTTTCCAGGTCATGTACATGGTATATGGTACCGTCTACTGGACTATTCGTGGAAAGTGCCAAACATTTTTTTAAAGACCTTTACAATCGTCTTTGATTGACTAACTTCTTTGATTGACTAACTGCTTTAAATTGTACAAATTGCATCAAACACGGCATCAAACATTTTATGGGGGATTGCCAAACCATATTTTTGAGTTGAACAATGGTAACCGTTGCACTGTCGATGAATATTTACTTTATATATCCTTCACACTAAAGTTTTTTTTAATGACAGTGGTTTTCTTTAGTTAAGCTTAGCTGGTCACATCAGGCAGTCTCCCACAGGCGCGTAGCCAGCAGGGGGGGGGGGGGGGGGTCACCAAAAACGCTGGCCAAAAAGAGAGAGAGAGAGAAGAGAAAAAAGTGCTTGGATGATTATTATGGCTCGCAGTTCAGCATGCTACAGGTGACTAGTCCTGATCCTGTCGCGAAACAGATATCCCATCATAATCACGCCCTTTTTTTGCTTTAAAAAATATTTTAAAAGAAAGAAATTATCAGCCCAGCCATTGGCATTTGCGCGGTGTCATTTCGGTGCTATACGAAAGTCATAACGTCTGCGGATGAAAGGAGGCAGGATGCAGGCTGAATGAATTTGTGTGTCTGTGTCCCGACCCCGCCCCTCCCCATCCCGCTTTTCTCTCTCTCTCTCTCTCTCTCTCTCACACACATACACACACACACACACACACACACACACACTCTTTCACTCTTTCCTTCTCCCCCCCCCCTCTCTCCCCCCCCCCTCTCTCTCTCTCTCTCTTTCTCTCTCTCTCTCTCTCTCTCTCTGTATATACTATATAGTCTTAATTAAAGGGATGGTTGAGTACATGTTTTTAGACCGCAGCGCAAATGCCTTCAAAGTGCATGGTAATTGCTCTTATTCTTATCTATGACATTTCTGGTGCTCTTTCAGGACCTAAAATTGCTATGAAGGTAATTTTAGACCCCAAAATATGTGAAATTTAGCCAATACGATCAAACCAACTCAGCTCTATACTTTCAAAAAAATACGGTGACCGTTAATTAATTAATTAATTAAAAATAATACATGGGCCGGCTGATTGAGCGTTTATAACCAACATGAAAATGCCAGCAAAATAGCCAACACCGGCATTGGCTGAAATACGACGTAAAACGGCTTTTTCAAATAATTTATCTAATATAGGTGGTGGCCGGTACACACAATTAGAAATCGTTATATATTTCAGCCGTCTCTGAACCGATTTTGATCAAACAAAGATGATATTGTCATTTAAATTGTATGTTCTTTCAAATTTGACACCGGTCAGTTTTTCATTATCTCACGACAAGATTATTTTGAATAGCGCCCTCTGCAACAGAACTCAACTATCGCTTTAAGCTCCTCAATGAGAATATGACGTTGAGGGGCATTAGCGGAGAGGGTTTGTATCTCTGAACAAATTATTGTATAAACTAAGGTTAACAAATGCAATTTATTTGTTTATTTATTAAAACATCTTTTAACAGGATAATATTAATCAGCTCGCAGGCTGTTTTACATAATGGTCCTGCATAAGGATGGAAAATACAAATACAGACTGACATTAAGAGTAGTTACAAACAAAATAGCAGTTTTATACAAATGGTAAAAAAACGAAAACAACACAAATAGGAAAAATAAGCTTAGGGAAAACGAAAAGAGGAGACAAAATATAAAATAATGCAATATGACATTTACATTGTGACATTTTACATTAGAATTATATATAACAATGAAGTTAATAAAACATTTTATGTCGAGATTAAGCCCAATGAGTTGTTAATATGGTTTATATTGCATAATTATAAAAAAATAAATATCAAATTTAGGACGTAATGTAGGTATTTTAAATTTCTAGGTAATTGGGTTAGCAATCATTACAGTTGTTGCATATAATGTTGTAGTAGTGAGGAGAAACGGCAGTGAGCAAATTTTATCCATTAAAGGAATATTTTTTATATTGATATTTAAAATTCTCTACTGAATTGGCATTTTGGATATCATTGGGAAGCTTATTCCAATTAACCGCTCCAGCATACTTAAAAGATTGTTTGAA